CACCCTGTCTGGACAGATGGCCCTGCAGCTTATATAACCCAGGAACGAACTTATACAATGATTTGCATCTTCGCATGTTTGCTTCTTAAGTTTTTTAAAAAATAAAATAAGTAGCCAAAATTTCCAGCAGAAGTCCCATGGCGGCCATCTTGGGAGCTGCAAAATCCCGCAACAAAGCAGCAAGTGTGGACGATGGAAGCAGAAATCCCAGGACCAACAGGTCTGCATCTGGACATCTTCTCAGATCTCTGGTTTTTTGCCCTTGACTAAAGTGTGCAATTTGGTGCTGTCTGGAACTGTTCTGTGTGACCAACATTGCATTACAATTCTATCCTGATTCACAGGAATGTGTACCAGTCCCCATTCAACAATTGTATGTGTAAGTAACTTATGTTGGGCAGGAACCTTTGAGGTCGTCAAGTCTAACCCTTTGCATGATGTCGCAACCTTGCAATCAATAGTAGCCAATGGAGCAGGAAATCCCATGACAATGGAGCAGGAAATCAAGTTTTTAGACCAGATTTTAGAGTTGTCCAATTTGCTAAAATATCCTTAATAAATAGCTTTCATACTCTGGATAGTGCTTTTTGAAGCTATCGAAAATTTGAAATTAATTCACTGGTATTGATATAGTGCCCACTTGCAACCCCTGCTTGAAATTATAGTACCATAAAACTCCATAATGGATCCCGCCTTCATCACAAGTACGTTTGGCGGGGATGAGAGACAGGGCCTTCTCTGTGGTGGCCTCTCAGCTATGGAACGCCCTCCCTAAGGAGATTAGATCGTCTCCCTCACTTAACGTTTCAGAGACAAGTTCAGACATGGTTATATGAGCAAGCGTTTACAAATGCAGAGTAGCTGACATAGGAAATGGAATCACTTGCAATGGAATTTGGACGACGTTTTTAACTAGGAGACGCTGATGATAATCATGTTGTTTTTATTGTTTTTATTGTGGTTTAATATTGTCGTAATGCTTAATCTGTATTTTGCTATTATGTGTACTGACTGTTGTAAACTGCCTTGAGTCGCTAATATGCTGAGAAAGGCGATATACAAGTACAATAAATAAATAAATACACCCATACCCAATTTTCTAGATCCTTCATATGAGTCTATGGTGCACTTCCCTGTAAATTACCATAGAGTCATGTTGGCACTATTCTATTCCTAAAGAGGATACCGACATTTTAACCTACTAGTGGGTGTAGGAGGAGAAGGAGCGATGCAGAGTTGGAGGAGGAACAGCGTCAGCTGAAACACATTCGGGATGTTATCATGGCGCCCAGCGATTCTGAGGACTTTGCAGGGTTTGGACCCGAAGACTTAGAGGAGGTGGATTACAGGGGAGTTAAACGTTTTGCCAGTGAGACTGACAGTGATGAAGAAGTAATGAGCAAACGTCTTAAAGACGTAGCTGACAATTGCAGTTCGGATGAACAGGGATCCAATAATGGGGATATGGAAGAGGGGCTGGACTGGACTCGGGTTAGGGAAATTCAGGACATATGCACACAGCCCACGTCTAGTGATGAATTCGAGGGGTTTCATGATACATGGCAGGCAGGTACTTCTTGGGAGGATTCTGGACAAGATCAACGTTGGCAGCGCTGGCGAGGTAATGAGGCCACAGCTGAGGATAATGATCCAGGTGTAAGTGATGAGAGCCAATCCAGTGATAGCGACTGCTGATAAAATGAGGGCTTTGGGATGGGTAGTTTTGCAGAGGACAAAGCGTTGTATCGGGTGTTTTGTGCTGCCTTACCTCCGTTTGGGTCCTGGGAATACAGCTATCGTGTCTTTGTGTGCCTCGACTCTGGATTGGACTACGTGAGTGACTTCGTCTTGCCCCTTGACTACGGAACGTTTCTGGACCACGCCATTTGCCTTCTGGACTTCGTTTGCTGCCTCTCTCCGTGTTTGACCTAGGACTGTTTGACTACGCTATTGCCATCGCCTGTGTTGCTAATCGGTACTGCAGTTTAAGTGCTGTTAGCTTTGTTAAAGACCTATTAAATACTTTGTTAACCCCTTACTAGCTGTGTTGGACAATCTTTGGGCTCTGAGTCACAACAACTATTCTATTCCTAAAGAGGATACCGACACTTTCTGCACCTTATATAATTAATATGGGCCAGAATGTTAGAAATATACTATGTGTTGCAGATTTTGGAATTCCAGATAAGGGATGCTCAACCTTTCCTGTATCTTTATTGGCTCACCAAAATGCATCATGTAAGCTTTTGGAGCCCCACTATCTTCTTAACTGAGCATAAGATGTTTAAAAAATCATGCAAAAGAAAATAAAATGCCATTTTGTGAAGCCATAGGACAGAAACATCCTGGATCTCAAGAGGAATTGCTTTTTATTCAACTAGCTGTTTCATTTGCATTTACAGATTGATTTAAGCACAAATTAATTTTGTGAGATTGCCCTTAATTCATGCCTGATGATGCGCAAATTTCTCTTCTGAGTTACTTAGGTGAATCATATGTGCCAGAAACTGAAATGATATTGCCTGTAAAAGGAAAAGCAAAACAACAGCAAGGGAAGATACTTTGTGTGGACATGTCTGCACTTGTAGGTTTCATCATCTCCCCACAGATTTTACAGAGCACATACATTGGGTGTGGAAAGACATAAGTCAGAGAAATGCCACATCACCTCTATAAGATGACAAGATAATCCTATCTCTAGTGGCTTTCCTGCAGAGAGCGCCAGACAAAGGGAAAACCATTTCGAAGGATCTGACTTGAAAGTTTCAATTAATGTTTGGGGTGCTGAAGAATACTTCTCTGCCTTTGACAACACTAATTGTCCCTATTTAGCTTTATGGCAAGGAATAGCTTTGACTCTTGAAATATTTGGGGGCTGCTGTGAAATCATCATATCAGCAACAGAGCAAACAAATGTTAAAAGCTGGAGTATTTGTGTAGAGTTTGGTTCAGATTCATCATTGTTTGAGTGCACAGTGATCTCTGGATGTAGGTGAACTACAACTCCCAAACTAAAGGTCAATGCCCACCAAACCCTTCTAGTGTTTTCTGTTGGTCATGGGAGAACTGTGTGCCAAGTTTGGTTTGCCTGATATCATTGGGAAGTGAGTTCCAGAGTCGGGGGGCCACCACCGAGAAGGCCTTCTCCCTTGTCCCCACCAATCGCGCCTGCGAAGGGGGCGGGAGCGAGAGCAGGGCCTCGAAGAGATCGTGTGGGTTTGTACACAGAAATGTGGTCACGCAGGTAGGCGGGTCCCAAACTGTTCAGGGCTTTGTAGGTAAGAACCTGCACCTTGAATTGGGACCGGAAAATGAACGGCAGCCAATGGAGCTCCTTAAACAGGGGGGTTGACCGCTCCCTGTAAGTTGCTCCAGTTAGTAACCTGGCTGCCGCCCGTTGTACCAATTGAAATTTCCAAGCCGTCTTCAAGGGCAGCCCCACGTAGAGTGCATTACAGTAATCCAATCTGGACGTGACTAAGGCATGGACCACTCCGGCCACAACCCCTGAGGATGTCTGCCATAGATGTGGGCGAAACGTCAGGAGAGAGTGCTTCTGGAACATGGCCATACAGCCTGGAAAACTCACAGCCACCCAGTCATTCCGGCCATGAAAGCCTTTGGCAACACAACTTTAAACTGCAAAGCAAATTCCTTCTTGACTCCAAAACATGAAATATTTGAAAATCCAAATAAAATGGCTGAGATAGTGACACCTGTCACTCCAATGCTTCAACTCGGCTTAAAATCATTGAAACACATTGGGTATTTTCATAGAATCATAGAATCCTAGAGTTGGAAGAGACCTCATGGGCCATCCAGTCCAACCCCCTGCCAAGAAGCAGGAATATTGCATTCAAAGCACCCCTGACAGATGGCCATCCAGCCTCTGTTTAAAAGCCTCCAAAGAAGGAGCCTCCACCACACTGGGGCAGAGAGTTCCACTGCTGAACGGCTCTCACAGTCAGGAAGTTCTTCCTCATGTTCAGATGGAATCTCCTCTCTTGTAGTTTGAAGCCATTGTTCCGCGCCCTAATCTCCCAGGAATATTGCATTCAAAGCACCCCTGGCAGATGGCCATCCAGCTTCTGTTTAAAAGCTTCCAAAGAAGGAGCCTCCACCACACTCCGGGGCAGAGAGTTCCACTGCTGAACGGCTCTCACAGTCAGGAAGTTCTTCCTCATGTTCAGATGGAATCTCCTCTCTTGTAGTTTGAAGCCATTGTTCCGCATCCTATAGAATCATAGAATCATAGAATCAAAGAGTTGGAAGAGACCTCATGGGCCATCCAGTCCAACCCCCTGCCAAGAAGCGGGAATATTGCATTCAAATCACCCCTGACAGATGGCCATCCAGCCTCTGTTTAAAAGCTTCCAAAGAAGGAGCCTCCACCACACTCTGGGGCAGAGAGTTCCACTGCTGAACAGTTCTCACAGTTAGGAAGTTCTTCCTCATGTTCAGGTGGAATCTCCTTTCCTATATTTTGAAGCCATTGTTTTGCATTCTGGTCTCCAGAGCAGAAAACAAGCTTGCTCCCTCCTCCCTGTGGCTTCCTCTCACATATTTATACATGGCTATCATATCTCCTCTCAGCCTTCTCTTCTTCAGGCTAAACATGCCCAGCTCTTTAAGCCGCTCCTCATAGGGCTTGTTCTCCAGACCCTTGATCATTTTAGTCGCCCTCTTTCAGGTTATTTATATGTATAAGGTGTATATGAAACATTATCTATCTATTTATCTGCATAAATTTGGAATTAAGATGGGCAGGAATTCTAAGAAGAAGCCTTAGATGGACACATTATTGAGACCTTTGTTTTGATCTTTGGGCATGTGATTCCCCTCAGAACCACCACAGCAAGGGGAGCTGTGAAGGACGGAGCAGGAGACCAATGGTAGGGCGCAGTTTTTAAAAAAGTGGCCCGGGGCGTCCAATCAGCTTGCGAGGAGGTGGAAAAGGGGCGGGCGCAGCTGAGGGGAGAGGCACGCTGTGAGAGAAAGGACGCCATTGTGTGGAGAGCGAGGCTTTGGTGAGGGTGAACCTCTTTCGCGCGCTCTCCTCCTGCAAAACTGAGGGTAGGGGCTCATCACAATGGGAATCACAATTTCTCCCTTTTCCACCATGCTGAATTGCCATAGCATAAGTCTGCCAAACTGAGAAGACTATAATAAGAATAATACTAAGATAATAATAATAATGTCATAGTTTATTTATTTATTATATATAGTTATTATATATATTTAATAACTATTGTTATATTTTGGGCACCACAATTCAAGAGAAATATTGACAAGCTGGAATGTGTCCAGAGGAGGGCGACTAAAATTATCAAGGGTCTGGAGAACAAGCCCTATGAGGAGCGGCTTAAGGAGCTGGGCATGTTTAGCCTGAAGAAGAGAAGGCTGAGAGGAGATATGATAGTAAAGGTAAAGGTTTTCCCCTGACATTAAGTCCAGTCATGACTCTGGGGGTTGGTGCTCATCTCCATTTCTAAGCCAAAGAGCCGGTGTTGTCCGTAGACACCTTCAAGGTCATGTGGCCAGCATGACTGCATGGAGTGCTGTTACCTTCCCGTCGGAGCGGTACCTAATGTACCTAACAGAATCTGCTGGTCACCATCAAGTTATGATAGCCATGTATAAATATGTGAGCCATGTATAAATATGTGAGAGGAAGCCACAGGGAGGAGGGAGCAAGCTTGTTTTCTGCTTCCTTGGAGACTAGGATGCGGAACAATGGCTTCAAACTACAAGAGAGGAGATTCCACCTGAACATGAGGAAGAACTTCCTGACTGTGAGAGCTGTTCAGCAATGGAACTCTCTGCCCCGGAGTGTGGTGGAGGCTCCTTTGGAAGCTTTTAAACAGAGGCTGGATGGCCATCTGCCAGGGGTGTTTTGAATGCAATATTCCTGGGAGACTAGGGCGCGGAACAATGGCTTCAGACTACAAGAAAGGAGATTCCATCTGAACATGAGGAAGAACCTCCTGACTGTGGGAGCCGTTCAGCAGTGGAACTCTCTGCCCCGGAGTGTGGTGGAGGCTCCTTCTTTGGAAGCTTTTAAACAGGGGCTGGATGGCCATCTGTCAGGGGTGATTTGAATGCAATATTCCTGCTTCTTGGCAGGGGGTTGGTCTGGATGGCCCATGAGGTCTCTTCCAACTCTTTGATTCTATGTTATTTTATATTATTATTTATTATTATTTTTCCCCTTCCACCATGTCAAATTACTATAGTATAAGCCTGCCAAAGTAACGGTCATAGTTTATTTATTTATTTTATATATATTATTTATTATATATATTTAATAACTATTGTTATAGTTATTTATCTTATTATATTATATAAATATATATAACTCATAGTTATTTATGTTATTATTTATATTATTATTTTTATATTATTATTTTTCCCTTTCCATCTCAAATTACTATAGTATAAGCCTGTAAAAGTAAAGATAATCATTTATTTATTAATTATATATATTATTGGGTTGTTGTAGGTTTTTCCGGGCTATATATATTTATTTTTATATTATTATTTTTCCCCTTCCACCATGTCAAATTGCTATAGTATAAGCCTGCAAAAGTAAAGGTCATAGTTTATTTATTATATGTATTATTTATTATATATATTTAATAACTATTGTTATAGTGATTTATATTATTATATTATATAAATATATATAGCTCATAGTTATTTATGTTATTATTTTATATTATTTATTTTATATTATTATTTTTCTCTTTCCACCATGTCAAATTACTATAGTATAAGCCTGTAAAAGTAAAGATAATCGTTTATTTATTAATGAGACAGCAAAGCCTAGAGAAGACAATTATGCTGGGGAAAGTGGAAGGTAAAAGGAAGAGGGGCCGACCAAGGGCAAGATGGATGGATGGCATCCTTGAAGTGACTGGACTGACCTTGAAGGAACTGGGGGTGGTGACGGCCGACAGGGAGCTCTGGTGTGGGCTGGTCCATGAGGTCACGAAGAGTCGGAGACGACTGAATGAATGAGCAACATATATTATTTATTATATATTTAATAATAACTATTGTTATAGTTATTTATATTATATACATATATATAGCTCATAGTTATTTATGTTATTATTTTTTATTTTATATTATTATTTTTCCCTTTCCACCATATCAAATTACTATAGTATAAGCCTGCAAAAGTAAAGGTCATTGTTTATTTATTATATATATTATTTATTATATATTTAATAATAACTATTGTTATAGTTATTTATATTATTATATTATATAAATATATATAACTCATAGTTATTTATCATATTATTTTATATTATTTATTTTTATATTATTATTTTTCCCCTTCCACCACGTCAAATTACTATAGTGTAAGCCTGCAAAAGTAAAGGTCATTGTTTATTTATTATATATCTTTAATAACTATTGCTATGGTTATTTATATAACTATGTATAACTCACAGTTATTTATGTTATTATTTTATATTATTATTTATTTTTATATTATTATTTTTACCTTTCCATCTCAAATTACTATAGTATAAGCCTGTAAAAGTAAAGATAATCATTTATTAAATACTGGAAAATAGAGGGAGAAATCGTGGAGGCCGTGACAGACTTTGTATTTCTAAGGCAAAGATTACTGCAGATGCAGACTGTGGCCAGGAAATCAGAAGACGCTTCCTTCTTGGGAGGAGAGCAATGTCCAGTCTCAATAAAATAGTAAAGAGTAGAGACATCAGACTGGCAACAAAGATCCTGCCTAGTCAAAGCCATGGTATTCCCTGTAGTCACCTACGGATGTGAGAGCTGGACCTTAGGGAAGGCTGAGCGAAGGAAGATCGATGCTTTTGAGCTGTGGTGTTGGAGGAAAGTTCTGAGAGTGCCTTGGACTGCGAGAAGATCCAACCAGTCCATCCTCCAGGAAATAAAGCCCGACTGCTCATAGGAGGGAAGGATACTAGAGACAAAGTTGAAGTACTTTGGCCACATCATGAGGAGACAGCAAAGCCTAGAGAAGACAATTATGCTGGGGAAAGTGGAAGGTAAAAGGAAGAGGGGCCGACCAAGGGCAAGATGGATGGATGGCATCCTTGAAGTGACTGGACTGACCTTGAAGGAGCTGGGGGTGGTGACGTCCGACAGGGAGCTCTGGCGTGGACTGGTCCATGAGGTCACGAAGAGTCGGAGACGACTGAACAATGAACAACTGTCCACAGGTGCAAAATCTGAAATTATATAAATATATAATAACCCGTGAGTTTATAATATAGTATATATTATTTTGATAGCTCTAATTCTGTTATTTTCCAGTGGTTCATTTCACAGGGAGTAGTATTGCACTTGAATTTCCCGTGCCATCAATGGAATCAATAGAATCATAGAGTTGGAAGAGACCTCATGGGCCATCCAGTCCAACCCCCTGCCAAGAAGCAGGGAAATTGCATTCAAAGCACCCCCGACAGATGGCCATCCAGCCTCTGTTTAAAACCTTCCAAAGAAGGAGCCTCCACCACACAACGAGGCAGAGAGTTCCACTGCTGAACAGCTCTCACAGTCAGGAAGTTCTTCATAATGTTCAGATGGAATCTCCTTTCTTGTAGTTTGAAGCCATTGTTCCACGTCCTAGTCTATTTTATCTTATGATGAATTATATACAGCCTATAGTATAACTCATAGTTTTATTAAGTATGGTTAATTATTTATATTACTTTGACGTATTTTTTAAAGTAGTTTCCCCCTGGCCCAGGAGTCACCACGTGTGCCATAAGGGACTATAGTATACTAGACTTCTTCCAGTCTTGCTGGAGGACCTAGAGCAGTGTTTCTCAACCTTCCTAATGCCGCAACCCCTTAATACAGTTCCTCATGTTGTTTTGGCCCCCAACCATAAAATTATTTTCATTGCTACTTCGTAACTGTAATTTTGCTCCTATTATTAATCATAATGTTATTATCTGATATGCAGGATATATTTGCATTCACTTAACCAAATTTGGCGCAAATACCTGATATACCCAAATTTGAATACTGGTGGGGTTTGGGGGGGACGGGGACTGATTTTGTCATTTGGGAGTTGTAGTTGCTGGGATTTATAGTTCACCTACAATCAAAGAGTGTTCCAAAGTCCACCAATGATAGAATCGGGTCAAACTTGGTACACAGAACTCCCGTGACCAACAGAAAATACTGGAAGGTTTTGGTGGACACTGACCTTGATTTTTGGAGTTATAGTTTACCTACATCCAGAGAGCACTGTGGGCTCAAACAATGACGGATCTGGACCAAACTTGGCACAGATACTCAATATGCCCAAATGGTGAACACTGGTGGAATTTGGGGAAAATAGACCTTGATATTTGGGGGTTGTAGTTCCTGAGATTTATAGTTAATAATAATAATAATAATAAAACTTTATACTCCGCTACCATCTCCCCAAGGGACTCGGTGCGGCTTACATGAGGCCAAGCCCACAGTACATCAATAAACAAAAGCAATAACAAAAAATCAATACAAAATAATATAAATCACATAAGCAAAAATAAACAATAACAGTAACACACAAGCATTTAAAAAACCTATGGCCGGGCCAAATGTAATAATTTAATAATGTAATGTAATAATTTAGTTCACCTTAGACTAGGTCACCATAAACTGGAAACAACTGGAAGACATACAAGAACAGGACAGTTACACAGCTCTTTAGAAAAATGAATTGCTGTGTTCTAGAATAGTACATTCTGCCACACTTTTTGGAATACTTTGTAGTGATTGATAATATTTTATTGATAGTTTATTTTAAAACAGAAACAAGAATTGCATTATTGAATAAAGACGGAATACTTGCAGAATAAGAGTTGAGTGAAGCAGGTTCTTTGGGAAAAAACTTGCAAGTTGTTGATAGCATTGTCAAAATGCCCTGTCTTACAAGCATTCGGTACTTGGGGGCGGGCACACAAAATAATGGGATTGCAACTCCATTATTATTCACAATCGTCTGTACTGCCAAGGGATGTTGGGAGCTGTAGTCCTCCAGATGCCCAACATTTGGAAGGCAACATTTTGCCTATTTGTGCAGTACAACTGTCAAGGTTGGAGAACAAAGAGAAGGATCTCTTCAGATGAGTTTTATGAACTATCAGTGTCTTATGCATTTGGTTGTCCAATAAGGAGATCACTCTTTGATTGATTTTATTTTAGTGAATTACACGTCGAGATGAACGGACGCGCCCGTGCGAAAGCCCGAGGGGTTTATAGAGGAGAAGGAGCATTTCAACAACCTGGTTCCCCCAGAGCGGTATGTTTGTGAAGCTATCTTTTACAAAATTTTATCTATTTTTAGGTATGTTAGGGCTTGATTTACCCATTAGCAAAATGAGGCACATTATCACATACTGTACATTTGTGGGGACCATTAAATTCAAGCAAATCTTGGATAGTTTCTGCAAGTATTGAATTGGGCGATTCCTATCAAACATCAGACAGCATTACATATTTGCTATTGCTAAACAGAAATAAAAAAGGAAAGAAATTTTAGGTTTGCACTAGAAATGAACAGTGCACATATTAAAATGTAAAATTGATTATAATGCTTACATTGCAAAGCAGACTAACAGTAAATAAATCACATGATTGGCTAGTACTATTAAGTACTCATAATATATTACCACATTTTATACAGTAGGTTTATTTCCAATCAGTGTGCTAAAAAGATACATTTCAGACTTCTAAGACTTGGCTGCTTGTAGTACAAAGAAAATGATAAACTATTCTGAGCTCTTGCTGCTTACAAGAAAATTGGCTATTGCATGTGGAATTCTCTGCCCAATATGCATCATTTCCTGCTAGTTGTATCTCATTTGCATCTGCTTTAGAAAGACAGTCAAAACACAGGCAGCCCTATGATGATAATACTGGTTTCCCACCCTGATGCTTTGCAGGTGCCCTTTGCTTTCCAGTATTCTTGGAAAATATTGGAAAGCCTGGTGCCCTTTCCTTTCCAATATTTTTCCCAGCCGGGTGCCCTTTCTTTCCAATATTTTTCCCAGCCTGGTGCCCTTTCCTTTCCAGTATTCTTCCCAGCCTGTGCCCTTTTCTTTCCAATATTTTTCCTAGCCTGGTGCCCTTTTCTTTCCAATATTCTTCCCAGCCGGGTGCCCTTTTCTTTCCAATATTTTTCCCAGCCTGGTGCCCTTTCCTTTCCAGTATTCTTCCCAGCCTTTGCCCTTTTCTTTCCAATATTTTTCCCAGCCTGGTGCCCTTTCCTTTCCAATATTCTTCCCAGCCTGGTGCCTTTCCTTTCCAATATTCTTCCCAGTCTGGTGCCCTTTTCTTTCCAATATTTCCACCAGCCTGTTGCCCTTTTCTTTCCAATATTCTTGGCCATTTGTCCAATTAGTTGTGACTAATGGGAGCTGAATACATTTTGGGTGGGCACTGGATTATTGCTACTCTTCACTTGCTGGAGTATACTTAGAAATAAGGTAGAGCAGGCATCCTCAAATTCCACCTTCTTCCAGCTTTTTGGGCCTCCAACTCCCAGAAGCCCCAGCCTGCTTGTTCAGTGGTCAGGAATTCTGGGAGTTGGAGGCCCAAACAGCTGGAGAGCCGGAGTTTGAGGAAACCTGAGTTAGAGTCATTGCGTTACCAAACAAAGGTGGCTTCATTACGAATGATCAGAAGTTATTCTATATATGATATTTCACTTGGAATATTTTAATTTCTGATGGTGGTTTTTTTAAACGGTAAAATGGACTGATTTTAATCAAATTTCTTTTTAAATATGTGTATACGCCTTCAAGTAATCAGTTGAATTGTGGCTGCATGAATTTCATACAGTTTAAAAGGCAATACTTAGAGAAGGGTTTGTCAGTTCCTTCCTCTGAAATATAGCATACTGTTCCTGGTATTTGTTGACAGTTTCCCATCTACATATTAACCAGGGCAGATCCTGCTTAGTTTCGAAGATCAGATTCGATTTTCTGCCTCTAGGGTATGTAGACCTTTTGGGTAGAAATTACATCTAAAATAGACTGTAAATTGCTTTGGGAAAATGTCTATTTTGAAAGACAGCATATAAATAAACATGAATCATAAATATTTGTTCCTGTCAACAATATTACTGTATATTGTAGATATTTCTTTTTATCCAACTAGCTCACTAATTCTACATAGTCTTAAGTGTTGTATTGTTTGATTCCAGCAGCAGACTAAACTGTTTAGTTTACTCAGGAACTAAGCAAGAAGGAGACTCTTCAATGGCCTGCAGCCTACTTTCATGTGGGTCTAGACTGAATTTTTAAAACTCTCTATAAGCAATCAGTTCAGAACTTGGGCACAAGAAATCATTTCTTCCCTGAACAGCCTTCTAGCAGAGACAGGAAAGTTATTGGAAAAGGATTGACATTTTAATTGCTAATTTGATCTTAAAATCTATCTTCATTCTTTGTACAGTACTTTGAAATGGATACATTACTATTTTTAGAGACTACCTCAAACTTCTTTTGATGGTGAAACATAAATAAAACAACAGCTGTGGATCATCTCTTTATTTCGGCTATCTCTTTTCTCCAGATATTTTTTGGCATAGAGAAATAATATTTTTGTGGCAAAACTATACAATATCAAAACTAATCATAACAACAAATAAAACAGAAGGTGACTGGATTCAGAATGATGTATCAAGTGTTTAACAGCCATAACATTTGGAAGGTTAACTGATGAAGTGAAAAATTTTGGAGAAGGGCAAATTTAATCTCTTCAAAGGGGGCAAAAAAGAGTCAAGGAACTACATAGAGTCAGCCTGACCTCAATACTAGGAAAAACATTAGAATGGATTATTCAGCGGTCTGTTTGTAAACATGTTGATGATGATGTAGTGACCAGTAGGAGTCAAAAACAAATCATGCAAAACTAATCATAGTCTTTTTAGATTGTCCCTAGTTTAGTAGATGATGGGAGGCCATTTATTGGATTTTAGCAAAGCATTTCATAAAGTCTCCCATAATATTTTGATTGGCAAACTGATTACATGTGGAAAAGATGGGAACACTTTCAGATGTTCAAAAAGGTTGAAAGAGCTGGGCATATTCAGCTTGGTGAAGGGAAGGGATGACATGATTGCATTCTTTAAATTCCTCATAGGCTGCCAAAAGAGAGTATGGGGCAGATTTGTTCTCTGCTGCTCCAGAAGTGAGAGTGGTTTTAAGGTACAGGAGAGTATCTTTTGATTGAACATTAGCGGAAACTTGACAATAAGAGCCATTCCACAATTGGAGCTATTTGACAGAAAGGTGGTGAGGTTTCCTTCTTTGGAGATGTTCAAAAAGAGGTTGGATATCCACCAGTGGCAGATGCTTTCATTGGGGTTTCTGCATTGATAAAGAAATTGAATTCAGTGACCCTTGAGAGCCCTTCCTACTCTATGAGGCTATGGCTCACTGCTATATATATACAGTAACTAGCTGTGCCCTGCCACGCGTTGCTGTGGCCTATAGTAAGAATTTTCGAAGTAGAGGTAGATATCTGGACTATTATGAAAGAGAGGTACCTACCTATTCCTTCCCCCTTTTTCTTCCCCTTCCCTTTCTCTCCTTTCATTCCTTCTTTTGCTCTTTGGTTTCATCCTTCCTTCTCTCTTTCCTTCCTTCCCTCCCCCTTTCTCTACTTCTTCCTTTGTCTCCTTTCTTCCCTCCCTGTTTCCCTCCTTCTTTCACTTTTTATTTCCTTTTCTCCTTCCTTCTTTCTTTCCTTCTTTCCTGCATTTCCCTCCATTTTTCTTTCCTTTCTACTTTCTCTTCCTTCCTTCGGTACCTCTTGCTTTCCTTCCTTCTCTCCTTTCCTCCCTCTTTCCTTCCTCCCTTCCTTCTTTCCCCCCCTCCTTCTCTCTTTCCTTCCTTCCCCCTTTCCCTTCTTCATTCCTTCCCTTTTTCCCTCCCTCCTTTCTTCTCTCCTTCCTTCCTGTCTGTTCTCCCCCAATACCATGGTAGAGTCCCTTCTAACTCTATTCTGAGTCTATTTAATATAGTAATATATAGTAATATTATATAGTAGTATATATGACAATAATATATAATATAATGTATATGTATTATATAGCAATTTATATAGTAATATATAAAGTATTGTAATTATATATACACACACACACACCAACCAGTGATCCAACATCCATCTGTGTGTGTGTGCGTGCGTGTAAGTGTGTGCATTTGTCTACACTGCCATATAATCCAGTCCTAAGTAGATAATCTGGACTTTACATGGCAGTGTGGAAGGGTTGACTTTGGGTGCATCTACACTGTAGATTTAATAAAGGAGGATGAAACTGGTGAGGGGAGGAGAAAAAGGAAGGAAAGAAAAGAAGGGAAGTAGAGGTGGGAAGGGAAGTAGAGGTAGGGAGGGAAGGAAGGAGGGTAGGAGGAGGTTGGACCGGATGGCCTCTAGGGCTCCCTTTCAACTGGTTGGCCATCCGTTATGAGAGTTTTGATGGTGTCTTCCTTTACTGCCAAATGAGGTTGGGCTGGATGGTCTTTGGGGCTCCTTTCCAAGCAATGTCAGTTTCGTGTGTCCCTATTACCCCCATCATGGCACCTTCCTCCTTCCCTTGTGCTGTGGGAGTGTGTGTGTGGGAGAAGAGAGTCAGAGTGTGTGCACAGAGTGTGGCCCGCCTCCCTCTTTTTTCCTTCCCCCCTCTCTCTCCTCCCCCTCCTCCTTCTCCTCAGCCTCTGCCCTTAGATCCCTTGCCTTAGTGTTTGTTAGGGGCCACAGGTGCTTCAGAACTTTCATTCTGTGTCCTCAGCGTGAGGGGGAGGGGGCAGGAGAGGTGTGTTGTTATCTTCCTTTTTTGAATTTAAAGGTGTTTTTGTGGGGGGGGGGGTTCAGTGATGGTCACTCCTTGGATTGTGAGGAGTTTTATTGCCAAATTTGGGGTCATTTGGCCGCGTAGTTTTTTTGTTTTTAAGCCACTCATTATGCACAGAGCATTTTTATATATATAGATGAGTGCAGAAAACGTATCAGTGGAGAAAGAAGTCGTTTTTATTTTCTTCCTTCTATGATGTCATCCCACAGGGTTATTCAGGGAGCAGTGATCTCTTAGCTTTGGAGAGTGGGAGAGAAGGTGGCAATGGCCGCACAAGAGATGGAAATAGTCCTCCAAAATGTAAGTTTATTTATTCATTTATTTACTGCATTTATATCCTTCGTCTTTTTTCCCCACATTGAATTTCAAGATAGATTGCAGCAAGATTAAAAGAAGATACAATTAAAATGTGATGATAGAAAATTTAAATATTTAAAATTTAAAAATTATTTCTAAAATAAAGTCACTTATAGTCATGAAAGAGAATATACATCATTCTCAGCTGTCTTGCTTATATTGTGAACTACTTGAACAAAATTTCAGTAATTCAGTAATCTTTTTTATCTTTATGATACTTTTATCCCATTCTTCTTGAGACCACCAATATTTTATCTCTTTCTTTTTTGCTCTTCAAGTCGGCTTTTCTGCTGGAAGTTCTGGCTATAAAGTGATGGAGAGAGGGGGAAAGATCCGTTGTAACTTTGCAGACATGGGAGTAAATACCAGGGAGAAAATGGAACATGTCAGAGATTCTAAAACAGGTGTAGTAATGAGTTGATTTAATTGAGAATCAAATAATTTTGGGTTGATTTTTTAAACTAAAATATTGAGAAAATGAGCAAATGTTCAGTTAGATATATTTTATATATTTTATTTTCCCACTAAGGTCAGAAAGAATTTGTGAGGAGAGCTCCCTAGCTGGAAATGGGAAAGGGCATAACAAATAAAAATAAACAGTATTACATTTGTATATCCACACTGCACACTTACAGCAGTTTGATTTCCTTGTAACTTCCATGTCTCCACTCTGTGGAATCTTTCTATTTGTAGTTTTGCTAATAAACATTACTTGAGGAGCATAATGTGGGGGCATGAAACACCAGGTGACACCATCTGAAGGGGTGACACCAAAATTGCTGTCTCTAAATACATGTTTAAAGTGAAGGTTGCACTTGTTCCCCACATCCCAAATAAGCACTGATCTTGAACACACAAGCCATACTCTGCACCTACTTGTTTTCAGGAGGACCAACTCTTGTATCTCTCTTCACCTACGATAGGCCAGGCCCCGATTCCAGGACCAGCAACACTCAGAACCTGTTATATATTGAAATGCTAAACACAAGATAGTGCAGAGGCAGACACCTGTAAAAATCCATTGTGATAGGAGGGCAATGTACACGTCAGGTGTTTATCTGGGTAAATTTCCAGTCATTTGACAAGTAACACACTGAAAAGTTAGAAAAATGCATATTTATGCATGCAAAATATTAAACAATTTTGTTTATTTCAGGCTCCAGTGGAATTCCTGTCAAGGTGGTTACCAACCTTTTTGGGTTAAACATGCCTAGAGAATGGCAGCTTTATCAGTATCATGTGAAATTTAACCCAGAGCTGGAATCAAAGCGCCTGAAGTCTGCACTGCTATACAGCCATCCTGATTTTAAAGGAAAACCAATGGTTTTTGATGGTGTATCAACACTGTTTCTTGCACACAAACAGGAAAACCAGGTAAAGCGCCTTGTATGTGTATGCATGTGTTATTAAAAAGTATACAAATGCAGCAGCTTTCATTCATCTTCTTCCATATGTTTGCACATAAATAGTAATGGACAGGGTAGGGAAATACTCTGTGGGAGAAAAAATAGCTCTATTGATGTGTATTTTAGAGTTGATTGATTTTATTGTGATATTGTTCTATGTATTGATGATATGAATCATGTTTTCCTTTGATATTGATGTATCTGTATTTATTGCACCGTATGTATTGTTACCTTTTAATCAAGGTGAAAGAAGAAAGTGCAAAAGCTGGGTTGCAGTTAAAAATAAGAAAAACCAAGATTATGGCAACCAGACTGATTGACAACTGGCAAATAGAGGGAGAAAACGTGAAGGCTGTGATAGACTTTGTATTTCTAGGCGCAAAGATTACTGCAGATGCAGACTGCAGCCAGGAAATCAGAAGGCGCTTACTTCTTGGGAGGAGAGCAATGACCAATCTCGATAAAATAGTTAAGAGTAGAGACATCACACTGGCAACAAAGTTCCGCATAGTAAAAGCAATGGTATTCCCCGTAGTAACCTACGGATGCGAGAGCTGGACCTTAGGGAAGGCTGAGCGAAGGAAGATAGATGCTTTTGAACGGTGGTGTTGGAGGAAAATTCTGCGAGTTCCTTGGACTGTGAGAAGATCCAACCAGTCCATACTTCAGGAAATAAAGCCCGACTGCTCATTGGAGGGAAGGATATTCGAGACAAAGATGAAGTATTTTGGCCACATCATGAGAAGACAATGATGCTGGGGGAAATGGAAGGAAAAAGGAAGAGGGGCCGACCAAGGACAGGATGGATGGATAGTATCCTTGAAGTGACTGGCTTGACCTTGAAGGAGCTGGGGGTGGTGACAGCTGACAGGGAGTTCTAGCGTGGGTTGGTCCATGAGGTCACAAAGACTCGGAAGCGACTGAACGAATGAACAACAACAAACATGTATTGTTACTTTATGAGTGCTTTGTAAGCCGCCCCGAGCCCCTTTTGGGAGATGGTGGCAGGGTAGAAATAAAGTTTATTATTAAGTTTATTATTATTTCCTTTTTTACATTCACCTCATTTAAAAAAATAATTAAGTCATTCTTCTTCATCTGTCAACTACTACTGGTTTGGTCATGCTTACTACCAGTATGTGGTCCATCCTAACATATTGTATCTTTTAAAAAAAGGTGATTTGGGATTCGATGAAAAAGAACAGGGTAATCATTGTGATTGGCATATTGCATTCAGACTGGAGGAGCAGATTATGTATATACTATAGTCCCCAAAGGACAACATCTATATCCTCTGATCTTCAGGGAAAAGGGCACTATTGTAATTTGGAACGGAAATGATTACATGTTCACAGTCAGCAGTGTGAACCGATTTTCAGAAATTTCATTTTGAGTCTTCTAAATATCAATACAATAGAAGATGCAAGGGAAAAAAAGAAACAGAAAGACAGAAAATTTAACTTCCAGTTTTCCTCTCAGCAGTTGTATATATTGTTCATACCTCTCACATAAACATCATCAAAATGAAAGTTAACTTTTCATTTGCTTTTTTGTTGCACAAAAGTAAATCATGGGATCCCATTCTTTATGAATAGATAGACAGCCATAATCTTTCTCTAATCAAATAAGCTATTTTTTTCTGTTTCTGCTAAGTTTGTCCATTTCTGTGACCACTCATCCTTAGTTCTGAATTCTTAGTTCATCCTTAGTTCTGAATTCTTAGTTCATTCGGCATTGTGCTCATATATTAAAACAGTGGGTTTTTTGGGTCTTCTTCGGTCATGCATCCAACAATCTACCCAGCATACTTCTCCATTCTGTTCACTCTTCCATTCAGCTTTCTCCCACTCCCTACATAGGCACTCCACACACCCATTTTTTAAAAATTGGAATATTAAAAGGGAAATGCTTTTGGCTTCTCCAATTTTGTCTTAGTTCTGTCCATTTGTTTTTTCCAACATTCCAGAATCTGCCAGGAGAACTCTTCTAGTTTGACCATCATAGTAGGCTATTGTGACAGAACAGGCCACAATGCACATTAGGCTTCCATGCCTTTCGCTTCTTGCACAACCTCAAAAATAATACTAAATAGTTTTTGCTTCACTTTTTGATTAGCCACATTTTGATACGATTTCCAAAACATAATATTTAATTCAACTGAGCTTTAATTTGTTTGAAACAACCATAATTGGAATTTGTATTGTTTTAAATAAACCACAATTGAAATTAATCTCAGTCTGTCAGTTTAAAAAAATTGAGTTAATCAAGAATGGACATGAAAGCTTAGTTATTTGCATCTTTCTCCCAAAAGTAGCACTTATGGTGGTAAATGTGACTTTACAAAAAGCAAGTATTTTGGTTTCCATTGGGCTTTGGTATCCTTCAGTGGATACCAAAATGTTGGAAAGCTTAAGTCCCATTATATACAGTGGTGTAGTAAGATGCTGCCTCTTATATAAAATGGCAAAATCAAGATTTTTGGGGAGAGAGAAGGGATGTTTTCAAGCCTAGGAATGGTTGAATCCATAGATACAGGATCCATGGATATGGAGGACTGACAGTTTAAAAAAAATAATACAAAAATTAAATAAAAGAAAGAGCAGAAGCCACCTGATGGAAAGCTCCTTAATATAACCTAAATTGCCAGCTGTCTCAAAAAAGCTACTTGAGCAGAAAGCAGAAAGACAACAGCCTAGCTGCCTTTGGTAGGCACTTCTAAGAATGCTCTCCCTTTCATAGCTGTGCCAGAGAAACACAGACTGGAGGGGAAAGTGAGCCATGCCCTGTTACGACGTTATGATTGTTCCCATCCCAATAAACAAACCATAGCTTGTTTTGATTGACTAACCAGGAAGACTAAAAGAGGAACTTGAGAATAATGGACATAATATATACAGTTTGTGAGACTGTCTATACTCTTCTCTTTGATTTCACGTGATTAAAATTGTTTTTGGCAGAAAGGTATATTCAAGGTAAAAACACATCTTTGTTTATAAATTAATATTCTATCTGGAAAAAAATGTAATTATGCCAAGACACAAAAGCCACAAGATTAGTTGATTTTAAGCCTTGCCCTTTCAAGCTGTTGCCCTTGGTTCAGAAACTATTTGCAGAATCAGGAAGTAATTATAGGGTAAGGTTCCCTATAATTACTTCCTGAGGAAAGGATTCCTGTCCCTTTATGGGTTGCACAGAAGGGGGGATTTAAGTAGGTTTTGCTTGCATGACAACCAACACCTGCTGAAATTCCCTCTCCTACACAACTGTTAAAGGGACAAGAGCCCTGTCTTTAATTTCAGCTAGCAACTCTATTGTGGAGACAAGCGAAATTCAGGTTTGAAGCACAGGGATTGCTTTCCCCCCCATTTATTCTAGCAATTAAGCTCTTGGATCTCATTCTATATCTTCTTGTTATTCTGATCTGCACTCTGCCTCACCTAAGCTTAACCATGTGCAATCTGAATTCAAATTTGATGGATCTACTTTGGGTTTTTGAAATAGAACCTTAAGGTCCATAATCCAGAGCCACGTATAAAACGATGGTGGGGGAATGATGTGTGTATATTTGAAGACTAGATTGCCTCTATATGCATATTCTCCATCAAACAGTTTGTTTTTAATATTAGAGCTGAACTCAGAGTTCCACTGAAAGAGTCATGCTTTGTTTTCTTGGCTATATAGAGAAACATAAGTCTGAATAGAAACCACATTACTTACATATCTTTTCTCTTTAGGTTACAGAACTGTCTTGTGAAACTCGAAGGAGTGAAACTGTGAAGATGATCATTACTTTAAACCACCAGCTACAGTCCAGCAGCCCGGTGTCCATTCAGTTTTTAAACGTCACCTTTAAGAAGTAAGCCATTTTATAGAATCATCGAGTTGGAAGAGACCTCGTGGGCCATCCAGTCCAACCCCTGCCAAGAAGCAGAGAAACTACCCTCAAAGCACCCCCCGACAGATGGCCATCCAGCTTCTGTTTAAAAGCCTCCACCACACTCGGGGGAAGAGAGTTCCACTGCTAAATATCTCTCACAGTTAGGAAGTTCTTCCTAATTTTCAGGTGGAATCTCTTTTCCTGTAGTTTGAAGCCTTGGTTCTGTGTCCTAGTCCCTAGAGCAGCAGTAAATAAGCTTGCTTTGTGTTGAAAATGTACACAAGAACCAGAACCAATTTTAGATTGAAAATAAGCAATAGTTGTCAGAAAGCATTGAGACTTCAGTAGTAATCTGTCATGCTATTCTTTGTAATGCTTTAGCCCAATTACATTATTACATCAGCAGGGGAAGCTACCTTGTAAGCAATGGTAACATTATTTATATCCCACCATATTCCTCAGGTCAGCTAACAATAAAATGAATTTAAATAATAAATAATAAAAACAATTTTGAAATATTAAAAACAAATGAAATAGATAATCTGTTATAAACCTGTTAACACAGCTTTAAGTAATGTAACCATTGGATAAAATCAGTTCTTCCCAGGGGTTTTAATGTAGTTTCTGTAGGGAGTTCCAATGAGCAGTCTAGCTACTGCAAGTCATCTTCAAGGGCAGCCCCAGGTAGAGTGCATTGCAGTAGTTTAATTGGAAAATTACCCATCCATGGATTAATACCTGCATTTAGCAGAAAAAAACAGGTAGTGGTGGTACTATTTTATCAACATAAATACAATCCCTGTAAAGTAGTGGTTCCCAACCTGTGGTCAGTGAACCACCAGTGGTCTACAAGAACTAAAATATGTTCCATGGCCTCACCCTTACTACACCATTGCAACGAGAGTGACTGGCCTTGCGAAACTCTTACATTGCTGAGGCTTATGAAATATGGTTTTCTATGGATGAGCAGATGGCGACTACTGGATGGCATATGTTCTGTATCAGAAACTAGTGCAGATGTGGTCTATCCAGTGCAGTTTTCTGAATCAGCTTCCCATATAACCAAACCAAATCTAAAGTTGACTAAAAACTGATTCATAACCCTTTTGGTACTAAAGTTGGAGAGTGGTCTGTGGTCAATTGGTCCCTGGTCAAAAAAAGATTGGGAACCACTGCTGTAAAGTATGACTAGGAAAGGTAATCCTCCAGCTATCTTTATTAACCTGGAGCCATATGGCTTCCTGTCCTACTGGTAGAAATATAGCTATTTAAATTGTTTTTGGATAAATTTGTGGCTTTCACCAGTGACCCCCCCTTGGAATATCATGGGTATGGGGGGGCACAGAAAGGAAGCAAGATCAGGAGGGGGGCACGGTTGGAAAAAGCTTGAGAAACACTGCAAGAGGGAATTATGTAGATCCCAGCATTCATGTATATTGGCTTTGCTAGTGAGGGTTCATGCAAATTTCAGTCCAATATGGTCTCAGGGCTCACATTTTGTAAGTGCTGCTTTGTAAGGATTTATTCTAAATCAACATAATACTAATTGAAAGTCTATAAACACTGTAGTTATCAATTGAAACATTTAAGAGCCAGATGGTATAGGCTTAAACTTCATAAATAATTTTCCTATCCATTACCATCTTCTATTCTGAAAGTAATAAACAGGAGCTAGATGTTCCATTGGAGACCTCTTAATTTGCTACCTTTGTTTCTCAAGGTAGTTCTGAAACCCCACTGAAGTCAAATCAGTACTGGTTAGCTGAGGAAAGACTAAACATTTACTTTCCCCATCATTCTCCACTTTGGAGTGCCCTCTCCTGGAAATGATTTGCAAATGGAAAGAAGCCACATAGCTTTGCTTTACATATCTATAGAGCAGGGATCTAATATGATGAAAATATAGCCTGTCCTGGGTTTTGATCTCATAGCCAGGTTAACTACCTTCCTTATCTCCTGTTCGGTATTTTTTGTTACCATCTATGACATACATATTTTAGAATTCATGATAACATAGTTCTGGTTATCTTGAATCTTTCTGATCTGGATCTCCTATGCTAATGTATGGATCACAATACACTATCCTTCAGAGTGTTGTACTCCAGAACAGGAAAAGCCCTCCGACTTTTCCAGGGGAAATAGTCCAGCAAAGTCCATGAAAACAAAGTCAAAACTTCTATAATAAAATCCAAAAAAACCAGGAAACGTGAATCCAAGACATGAATATAAAATCATAGAATCCAAGAATCAAACCATGAAACAAAAGGCACTTAAACATGAATCTCCCAAGCAAGACTTCCATGAAATGAGAACTTGACTTGATTCCAAACGATGCTTCATCTGACTACATATCCTGTACTTGGGACTTTTATCTCCTCGTTAGCTATGTCCCAAGTGCTCAGAAATTGGTTTTGCTTTACTTTAGAATCTCTTTATCTTTTTTCTCTCAGAGCCTGGCAGAACGCCGAAACCATTCTTCAGCTTTTCTGTTTTGACTAATCTCCTGTCTATCTATTTGCTCATTAATTTCTGCACCTGGTGCCAAGCTGTTTTCCAGCTCTAAATCATGAGGACTCACTGGTAACAATTCAGGGAGCACACCATCATCCCCACATCCTTCAGGAACATTTTCATGGGAAACTACACTTTGAACAGGGATCTCCTGGTCATTCTCTGCATCAATATCATTGCCCTATTGAAACTCCTTGACATCACTTCCCACATCCAAAGCACCCTGATCCTGGAACACAATCACAGGCTGAGCTCCAACACAGACTTCATACTTTTTCACATTCCCTATGCAAAATTGACACAGGTTAAAAGCAGACTGATTTGACCCTTTCCACACATGGAGCAAGTTGACCAGCCATTATTTTATTATACAATAATAATAATTTCACCTCTATCTCCCCAGTGGGACTCCACTAATTACAAAACACATGAGGCAAACATTCAGTGCCTCTTATACAATGACATACACAAGACAGAGGTAAAGGTCTTCCCCTTTTTTTTCTCTCCGGTGTCCAGAGATGATGTTCAACTTCTGGTCATGGGGAGGTGCTCTCGTTCCATTTTCCCATGCTTAGAAGCCTGTTATCGGTAGATTCTCTTATCTGTTGCCAGCATGTTTTGCATATCTGCACGGGACACCCTTTTAACTTCCCACCGAGGCAGTACCTGTTGATCTACGCGCATTTCATGCTTTTGAACTACTAGGTTGGCAGAAGCTGGGGCTGACAGTAAGGAGCTCACCCCAGCTTGTGGCTTTGAACAGTCAACCCTCTGGTTGAATATCTAGTTATAATTTGTAGTTTCTTCCTCATGTAGTCTGTGAAATGCGCACAGATGGGTTTCCTGTGCGCATGCGCAGCAATTTCGGAACATTCCAGAGCTTAATGAAAGAAATTTAAGCAAAATATTTAAAATAAATATTTAAGATCTTTTGCTGTGTTTTTAGCTATGAAACAGGTTCAAGCTTCTTAAATTTCATTTACAGTACCTTGGGAAGTCTGACTTGGCCACGGTAGTCCACGCTCTGGTTACATCCCGTATAGACTACTGCAACGCTCTCTACATGGGGTTGCCCCTGAAGACTGCTCGGAAGCTTCAAATGGCCCAAAGATCGGCAGCCAGGTTGTTAACAGGAGTGGCACTCAGGGAGCATACAACTCCTCTGTTGCGCCAGCTCCACTGGTTGCCAGTTTGCTACCGGGCACAATTCAAAGTGCTGGCTTTAGCCTTTAAAGCCCTAAAAGGTTCTGGCCCAACCTATCTGTCCGAACGCATCTCCTCCTATGAACCAGTTAGGACGTTAAGATCGTCTGGGGAGGCCCTGCTCTCGGTCCTGCCGGCTTCACAAGCACGCCTGGCGGGGACGAGAGACAGGGCCTTCTCAGTAGTGGCCCCCCGGCTGTGGAACGCCCTTCCTACAGACATTAGATCGGCTCCCTCCTTATTGGCATTCAGGAAGAGAGTGAAGACCTGGCTCTTCGAACAGGCTTTCAACTAAGCAGTGCAGTTGATTGATTACTGGAATATGGATTAATGGACAACGAGATCGGATGCTGATTCTATTGATGAGACGTGATGGATTGTTGTTTTCCTGTATTGTTGTATTGATGTCCTGATGTTAACTAATTGATATTACTGTTTTAAATGACTAATGATTTTGTACTGTATTGTTGATACTGGTTGTTAACCGCTCTGAGTCGCCATTGGCTGAGAAGAGCGGTATACAAGTGAAGTAAATAAATAAATAAGTCCCGCCCACACTCCCCATGAGTATATAAGGCCCTAGGCGAGGCTACACCTCAGTTCCTCTTTCCGCTAGAATTTTGAATTTATCTTCTGTAGATAGTTCTGAAAATGATACTTTATGTTACATGGCACATTAACATTTACACTTAAATCTTTAGGATTTTGAAAAAGTTATCAATGCATCAAATTGGACGTAACTTCTACAATCCTTCAGATCCAGTTGAAATCCCCCAGCACAAGTAAGTAGGCCACTTTGTCCTGTAAATAGAAAACATAACATTTTAGATTATAATCTTTTGCATCAAATATAAGTATTCCTTGTTGAATTCTGTCCAATAACTTAGTACAGGCAATCCCCAAGTTACGAAGAAGATAGATTCTGTAGGTTTTTTCTTAAGTTGAATTTGTATGCAAGTTGAAACAGGTACATTTTTTAAAGTGTAACTCCAGCCAAAAATGTATCTTTCAAGGTTTTGGAAAGTATAGGAAAGGGTTAACACCCTTAGCTGTCTGTGCCCCTGTTCAGAAGATTTCACCTCATCTTCAGTCCCTGTGATATTTAGATTTTGAAAAATGTGGCTTATCGTGGAAACAAGAATTGGTGATAAACCTTCACTTGAGACATTTCCTCCCATAATAACTCTTTCAGGGGTAAGTTTCCCTTCTGAGGGATAGATTTCTCTCACTTCCTGTTATCTCACCCCCATTCTTCATTATGAGTCATTTATAAGTGGGATGTTTGTAACTTGGGGACTGCCTGTATGTAGCTGGAAAGTAAAGTCCAGATCTGGTCCACTGCTAGTCTTAAATATACCAAATTTTCCTTATTGCATACAATTTCCTCAGATAGTCTGTGATTATCTTTGATAACCATTCACTATAAATGTATCTTCTCCAGCTTCTAACCACTGGTTTCCACAGTAACTTCTGGAGAAACTTGGAGTTCATTGTAAGTTTCTCAGATGTTGGTTAGTAAAGTGACACATAGCATGATTTTGTGCATCTTCCATTGGTTTTTTGTGTTTGCTCTATGCTTTGCCCAGTAGGAATAGGCTAGTATGATTTGCCCATTGGAAAGGCATTAAGTATTTATGCTGTTAGCATCCTCTGATGCTCATGTGAAGCCGCACTGAGTCCTCCTTGTGGGGAGAAGGGCGGGATATAAATATATGAAATAATAATCAATAATAACAAGATGTGGCCCTCCTGTACCACAGGTCCCTTCCAAACAGCCATGTAACAGAGAATATCAAGGCAGATCATCTACAATATCTGCTTTGAACTGCGTTTTTGGAGTCCACACTGCCAAATAATCCAGTTCAATGTGGATATTATATGGTTGTGTAAAAGGGGGCACAATATTCTTTTTATGCATCAAATATAATGCTTATTGCAGAAGCCTATTGCACAGTGATTGCGCCATTTAAGAACCCAGACCTTCTTTCAGATGCATCATCACAGTCTCATCTTCATATTTCAAGGGTGTTTTTTTTAGCAAAAAGTGGAGGAGACTCTTTGTTGTGTCAGTTGGAACGTCTCAAGTATGTGTTTAAACCTAAAGGAGGAGTTTGGTCAGGCTGTGCATAGTCCAGAATGGAGATTGATGAAGTTATCCATTCTTTTGTCTTTTCCTTTTGATTTCAGACTGAGCCTTTGGCCAGGTTTTTCTATGTCTGTTGGGCAGTATGAAAACAGAGTGATGGTCTGTGCAGATGTGAGCCACAAAGTGCTCCGAAATGAAAGTGTTTTAGAGTTCATGACCAGCCTGTATCAAAATGTGGATAGGGCACGTTTTGCAGAAATGTGTGAAAAGGAACTGGTGGGGCTTATTGTTCTTACAAGGTAATATCTATTTACTGTTTGAAATTGTGGTATCTTTCAAATGTGTGTCTACACTCAGTTGATAAAACCAACCAAGAATTATACTACTTTTAAAATGATTTTATAATGTATTGTAGGAAGATTGTTCTTGTACGAGTTCTCTTCCTACCATCATTATATAGGATGGGGATGGATAGACTTGAGGCTCCTCAGACTTACATTGCTTGCTAGAACCAACCAACACTAGGTGCCAAAAGCAAACACTTGAAATTAAACAACGGGACGCTTGTGAATACGTTTTGAGCATAGGAATTTATTTTTAATACTGGAATGAAAATGAGGTCACAGTCATTTCAAACAAAGGCCAACTCCTAGATACCAAAGCCTTGGAAAAGGTAACTTTCATCATCATCATTTAATTACTTATTAATCGCCGTCCATCCAAGATGCTCTAGGCGATTTACAAGCTAAAATTGTAAAGGATAAAAATACATACATACAGATATTGATAAAATTAACTTTGCTGCTGATAGTATTAAACAATTGGGAATCAGGAACTCTTGTCCTAGTTCACTGCTTCTTAAACTTTGGGCCGTGACGCCTAATAGAGTCTCCTTTGTTCAATGTTGGGAATCTCAAAAAAATTAGCAACATTAAAAGTTTTATGAATATCACCTAGTGGTTGTTTTAGACCTTTAAATGAATCTGTTGTGCAGCTCTTATAGTAGACTCTGCACAAGATGCTTCAGTTGTACTTCATAAAAAAAGGAAGATCAGCCTGTCTAGCAATCCTTGCAAATGCTGAATTATTATCAGTAACTTTTTATTTTTAATGTCATATACTTGTATATTTGGGGTCATGTAAAACATTTTTGGGTCAGAGTGGGGAAGTTTAAAATAACAACAACAACTACTACTACTACTACTTTATTTTTATTCCCTGCTTCCATCTCCCTGAAGTGACTCAGGCGGCTTACAAAGGGATAAGCCCAAAGAACACAGATTAAAACATAGCACAGTAAAATAAAATAAAAAACAACACATCAACATATTTCAATAACAGAGCATAACATCATAAAAACAATATAATGGCTGAACAATATTAGATGCTGAGTTCAGAGGGCTTAGAGTTTGTGCATTACTTCCTAAATAGAGCTAAGGGAAAGTGCAAAATTCAGTAAGGCAGGGCTGGGAGAGTCCTTGAGCATTAAAGTGTTAGGATTACAGGGCTTTCTTGCATAGGTAGTTTTTTTTTTGAGGGGGGGGGGTGCAAGTAATTTCTAGCATGTAATTGGAATCAATTTATAGTTAAAAAGATAAAGTCTTTTCTGTCAGACTAGGTTTCTGACATACAAGAACAGTATTTGGATTTGTGCGTGCGTGGGTATGTACTTAATTCTTTCAGATACAACAACAAGACTTATCGTGTTGATGATATTGAGTGGTCTGTGAAGCCAACAGATTCATTCGAGAAACGTGATGGTACTCGTATATCTTACGAGGACTATTATAAACAGGCAAGTACAGTTATATTTTTAATTGTCAGATCTTGATGGAACACATCATAACTGTTTAAGAAAAGGAGGAAAAGATCTCAGTTGTGAAATACTGGATAAAGAGAAATAAAAAAATATATGTCTTTTGGAATGTAAATGCTTTTAACTCAGCGTGAAGTCCCAGTTAGTATTTTGTGTATTTTTAACTGCTGCCAGGCCAAAATGATTTACTTTCTGAGCTAATGAATAAGATGCTTCCCCAGTCCAATTGAATCTTTTGCCATCACAAGTACAGTATCTACCACCTCAGAACTCTAACTTTGTGTTGCCTAATAGAAGACTGGCCTACTTTCAGTGGATACACCGTGAGATTGCATTGATTAACTCTGATTTTGTGTTTCTTGAGCAGCAGTATGATTTAGTCTTAACTGACCTGAATCAACCCCTGCTCGTGAGCCAACTGAAAATCAAGGGCAGGAAGAACATTGACAAACCTTGTGTGGTCCATCTGGTTCCTGAACTCTGTTATATGACAGGTAAACAGCTGTTAACTTCAATGCTCTGGTCCATTACTGCAATATTTTGTATTAGAATTTTAAACCTAAAGCAAGATGTCTGCCCTCTAATTCTCAGGGTTTATTAGAGGTGATCTTAGCCAAAAGGAGTTAAAAATGTACTTTGGAGGAATTTAATTTATGGGATCTCTAGCTACATAATCTAAGGTAAAAAGTCTAGGAAAACTCGAAGTCTGAAATCTCAGGGAACTGATATTGTAGATTACATACAAGATAGGTTCTGTAGGTTTGTTCTTAAGCAGACTTTGTATGTAAGCCGGAACAGGTAGATTTTTAAAGTTTAAGTCCAACCAAATATATACCTTATTTAGCTTTGGGTTGCATAGAGAAGAGTTAACACCCCTGTGATGTTTGTTTTGCTGTCTGTGCTCCATTCAGAAGATTTTCCCTCACTTTCTGTCCCTGTAATAATTTGATTTTGAAAAATTTGGCTTGTTGTGGAAACAAGATTTGATGAGAAAGTTTCAGTGGAGACACCTTTTCCCTATGATAACTCTTTCCAGAGTGAATTTTCCTTCTGAGGAGTAGATTTCTTCCTGGTGTTTCACCCTCATTCCTAACTATGGGTCATATGTAAACCAGATGCCTGTAACTTGGGGATTACCTGTAATGTAATATTGTTTAATGTATTTATGTGTTTCTGAACTTCCCAGTCTCTCCAAGTAGTTTCTGGAGAGGATGTGAAGAGTTACTATACAAATGGCCTCAGTTCATGTGATGCATACTGTATGCTCATGCACTTTACAGCCTAGTCAGGAGTTACACACCACGGGGATGTTTTGTTTTGTTTTTAATAGCATCCTCAAGGCTGTGATAATTTACACTTGTATTAATGTCACAACTTTTTTTGCTACTATGCGTGAAATATGCGTGATTTTGTTGCGTGAATTTGTTGATAGTGTATGGCGCAAATGCTTGTAAGTTTCAGGAATCAAAGGAAGATGCAATATAGGCATGTAGAGTTACTGCTTGTGGCTTCAACAATGTAACTTTTCAACCCAAGCATGAATTCTGTTACCATTATCTTCTGATGAAGCAGTTAATACCTTTCTAAAGATAGTTTCTTCTTTATGGTCTCCGTGAAATTGCACATATGGGTTTCCTGTGCCTACACAGCCAGTTTAGGAATTCTCTAGAAGCTCTACAAGATACATTTTGGTGTTAGCCCTTCTCCCACACCCCTTAGTAGTGTATAAGCAGTGAGAGGGGCTACACCTCCAATCCCTTTTCTCCACCTCCATAGCAGCAGCTTAGGAATCTCTCTTAGCTTGCCTCTTGGCTAATTTGTTTCTGGCGGTTTTCAACTACTAAGTTTCCTGACTTGACGCAGTTTTGGACTCAGCTTCCTGAATATTTCTTGTCTGAGGCCTGTGCGACCCCAACAGGCCAGTTAATTACTTACCCCTTTTCCTCTCCCCCCTCACGAGTAATGGTTTCCAAATGCGGGGCTTGTGGGGCAATCTGCCACACAGATGGTTATGCCAAATTTTTCAGGGTCCCTCCTAGAAGACCATGCAGCCCAGGCCTGCCATTTCCGCTAGGCCTTACCTTCCTCAGGCCCGCTGAAATCCAATTGACCTGAAGGTGCTTTTTGCCTGAGCAGGCTGTAATGGTGCAGTCCAGCTCAAGAGGCACTCACCTGAGGAACAGTCCACCGCCTGTGCCAGGCTAGAGCCTCTATCAGCCCCCACAGCAACATTGGCCCACATGTTTATGGGGCAGAGCCAGGAGATACCCCAGCGCAAAGCAGTCTACATCCTCCCTGCCAGCCTGATCAACAGGCGGCTGCTCAGAAGGCTAAAATGGGAAACAGTGTGTTGGTATTATGCCCTCACCCTCCATTTCCGCAATGGCTGCCATGACGTGAGAGCAGACAGAAACTAGAAAGCCACTGAGGAGGCTAAAAGGGGAAACAGTGTGTTGGCATTACGCCCTCGCCCCCAATTTCAGCAAAGGCTATGATGCCTGGTGCAATGTGGAAGCGTCCACTTTCAAGAAAGCTGTCGGGCTGGCAAAAGGGGGATTCACACATTGGCATTACGCTCGTGCCCCCCATTTCGGCAAAGGCAACACTGCCTCAACATGGGAGCAGCCGCTTTCAAGAAAGCTGTCGGGATATTTCCACGTATGTGCAATGAGTGTAATGAACATTGGAATGGAACAATGGATGATGAATCTGGATCATGTTTTTAGTTATGCGATGCCAGTGGATGGTTATTGTTGTTAACTGTTTAATGTTTTTATGATGTTAATTGTTTTTATATACCGTGTTGTTGTAGCATTGAATTTTTTGCTGTTCTTGTTGTTAACTGCTGTGAGTCGCCTAAGGGCTGAGAACAGCGGTATACAAATAAAGTAAATAAATAAGTATACCAAAACATTACTTGGCTGGCATTCTTCCAGAATCCAGCCACTTCACTGACAGAAACTCTCTCATTCAATAGATGTGAGGAGAGCTCTTCCAAATTCTTCCGTAATTACAGCCAAGATGCACTTATGCCTCCGGTATTTCATATGTTCATGAATCGTGGCCACAAGGTGCCTTCCCTTCCAATTTACGGGACAGAACCACCTGCATCACAACAGGGATCACTCAGCTAGAGCTGTCACTATGTCAGCAACTTTTTTCTGAGGAGCGCCATTGCATTCCCCGCTGCAAGCAGTATGCCTCCTCTTAGAGATGCTGTCTTTGGAAGAGCTGTGCCCTTTTTCTGTATAGCATGACCCCCCTCCAAGTTTAATAGCTTGCTAGTCACCCATATGTGCAATTTCACAGAGGCCATGAAGAAGAGGAATGGGTTGCTTACCTATAACCATGTTTCTTCAAGTGACCATCTGTGAAATTCGCACATCAATACCCATTCTCCCCGCTATTGTCATGCCGTAGTATCCATGGCTGCTATCTTGCAGCTAAGGAACCGAGGCTGTAGCCCCTCCCACTGGCTATATACTACTGAGGGGAACGTGGCCGGGGCTATTGCCAAAATGCATCTTGTAGAGCTTCTAGAGCAGGAGTTTTCACAAACAACGGCCGGAGGGCTGAATACGACCCTCCAAGGTCATTTACCCGGCCCTCACTCAGGGTCAACCAAAGTCTGAAATGACTTGAAAGCACACAACAACAATCCTATCTCATCAGCCAAAAGCAGGCCCACACTTCCCATTGAAATACTAATAAGTTTATATTTGTTAAAATTGTTCTTCATTTTAATCATTGTTTTGTTTTTAAGTGTTTTTGCACTACAAATAAGATATAAGTATGCATAGGAATTCATTTTTTTCAAGTTATAATCTGGCCCTCCAACAGTTTAAGGGACTGTGACCTGGCCATCTGTGTCGCGACCCAAGGAACACAGATTGTCTTAAACAGCAATTGAGATGCAAAATAATAGTCTTTTAATGAATAACAAACTTAATGGGGCACTTTAACAGCAGTGAAAGCAGTTCAAAAGATGTTTTCAAACAAGAACGTAAACAGTAGATAATCCGGATATCTAGCAGGCTTGAATAGCAGCCAAAAGTAAACAGGAGATACAAGAGCTTGTAGCAAAATGCAAAGCAAAATAGTCTCTAAGAAATATAAAGTTCAAAGCAAGGTCCGATAGGCAAATACGTAGTCCAGTCAATTCCAAGGTCAGAAAGCCAGGCGTAACACTCACGAACGAAGATTCCAAGGTCCGAAGAAGCACGGCAGGAAAACAGGATACTGGAAATCCAAGCAAGGTTAGGCAAAGTAACAACACGTAAACAACACTTTGTCATCTGCAAAGAAACAGTTCCCAATGTGCTCATTTTATTCACTATCAGAAGATTGAGATTCATTAGTCCCATCTGATTCTCCTTGCGCAACTGAAGCATCTAAGCCACGCCAAGTCTGCCACCTTTGATCTAATGCCTGATCCTGCCAAGAAGATCTCTCATTCCAGTTATCCTGAAAACCCTCAAAATCATCGCTGGAGGTTGCTTGAGTGCAAATGTCTCTAGTGTTCTGAACCAGAGTCCAGTCTAAAGCCTCCTCCATCTCATCCTCACTAGCACTGGAATTATCTGTGTCTTTAAGCCTCTTAGACATAGTGTCACTATCACTGCCAGACTCACTGGCCACTCTCTTTACTCCCCTGTAATCTGCTTCCATAGCTTCCTCTGGGCTGAATCCTGCAAAGTCTTCCGAATCACTGGAAGCCAGAAAGATGTCACGAATACGTTTCAGCTGACGCTGATTCTCCTCTGCTTCTGCATCACTTCTTCTCCTTCTCCTACTACTACTAGTAGTAGGTATGGTGCCAGAATGCTGAGTCTCAACACTCTGTTTAAAAAGTTTGAGGACCCCTATTCTAGAGAATTCCAAAACTGACTGCGTAGGTGCAGGAAACCCATATGGGCAAATTTCACAGATATCCACTCAAAGAAACATGGTTACAGGTACATAACGCATTCTTATTCCTTTTTCTACTTCAGTTTTGCTTGTCTTAATAAAGCTATCACCAATGCTTTCATTTGGGAAGTTTAAATTGTAATGTCATTAATGTTTCTTTTGACTTAAGGTTCTGTAAAACAGATGTAAAACATTCACACCTCAAACATCCTACTGTGTGTTATTTTTTCCTGGGCCACAAAGTCAATTTCTTGAAGCATTAAAATGTTCCCAAACTTTTTGTTAGGTTTGAGCAGCCATGCAAAGTCAAATTTTCATTTAATGAAGGCTTTGGCTCAAGAAACGCACTTATCCCCTGAAAGTAGACATCAGCGTCTGTCTAGGCTTGCTGACAATATTCAAAGGTAATTCAGTTGTCTTGCTTCTACTTATTGTCTGGCTCATGCATCTAGGCTTGAGACTACTTCAGGCATAGCGCCTCAGAGTGAATTATTTGTAGTAAAATGCTTCAGTGTGCAATCTATCTGTTGACCCATGTACTATAGCTGACTGCTACAGTTTTTCCCCCTAAGAAGGCATTCACAGTTTTAATAAAAGCACTGTATACCAGAAACAGAGGCTGAATGGCCATCTGTCAGGGGTGATTTGAATGCAATATTCCTGCTTCTTGGCAGGGGGTTGGACTGGATGGCCCATGAGGTCTCTTCCAACTCTTTGATTCTATGATTCTAAGTTTCACCACAGTTTGACTCTTTAAAACTATAATTGGCATATCTTCTCAAGGCAAGTAGCTTTTCTTTAGCATTTTAAGAAGCAACAATTTAAAGTTATCTTGCTCTGTTTGCTTCTTTTCTGGTGCTTTGCACCCCAGGCAGTGATCAGGTTTCTCTAGTACCTGCAACCATTAGATGGAGTCATAGGACTACAATAATTTATTACATATTTCTTCTTCAAACATCCTGACATGGATGTTTTCAGAGAAATACCTTCAGTACTGACTCAGGGCTTATTCCTTATTCCTCAATGCCCGTTCTCTATTGTTCTTTGACTTCACCTTTCCCCATATATTCCTGTCATTGCATGTCAGTACTGACTTAAATCAGTTTAATTTGGTTCTCATTCAAACATCTAAGATCAGAGAACTTGTTATGAGTCTTAGATGACCTGGATTATGATTGTGGATAGTGTGGTTTTATGATAATTGTAATGTTTTTAAATGTTGTAATGTATATTAATTTTGATTTTAATTTCAATTTATACGTTTATTTTAGTTGTATATTGTTGTTAAGGTATTGAATTATAGTCTGTCTGTAAGCCACCTTGAGTCCACTTTGGGGTCGAGAAAGGCAGGATATAAATATAATAAATAAAATAAATTAGATAAAGTCGCAATGTCTGTCCAAAATCTGTGTTTAAAACTGTCTAGGATGACAAAATATCATGATATTGTCTCCTTCAAACTCCAGAGGGAACAGAGGAGGGCATTTTGTGTAGAAAATACTAAAATGGGCATGATGTGAGAAGTGCAATCCATTCCCAAGATTTGGTAAAGATTATATGCAGCATCCAAGTTCTTAATTGTTCAAGAATTCCTGTGGATCAAAAGACTGACATGCTTTAAACTCTTGGTCACACCTAGTCTATAATAGCTTATATTACCAATAGTTACCCTTGGGCTTTTAGTTTCCTTTGAGGTATGAATTTTGACCTTTTTAAAGTCCTAAAGATCTCAGGGGGATAGAGGATACCAAGAACTGCTTCCTCCCATGCAAAGAAAATCTCTAAAATTTTGATTTGTGATAGTATCCGTGCATTAATTCTGAATTTTTGAATAACATTAATTTGTGAAATCAGGAAATTGAAACTTTTAAGTAACAAATTAAGAACAGTAGTGATGTTACTAACTACCTCTTCAGGCAGCTGGCGGCAGGAGGTGGCGGCTCTCTACTTCGCCATTGGACATGGGGAATCCAGTGCCCCACACCTCACATCGCCCGAATCCATGGGAGGGCAATCGCACGAGGGGAAGCATGAGCATGCATAATATGTGCGCCCCCCCCCCCTTCAATAGCTTTAATGGCAACACAGAAAGCCTCTTGTATTGCTTCGGTGGTGCACTGGTTCCACCCTCCTTCACCCACAGAGCTGGCACAACATCATCTGATGGGAGCCGGCTGGCTCCATAGTTGATCAGGGCTAGTTTGGCATATGCCACTGATTTTAGCCCCGTGTGATGAGGTGGTTAAAAAGTAATGCTGTGGTGATAAGTGATTGATATTTTATAATCATTATTGCCAAGTTGAGTATAGTGGATGCCAGGAATTCCCACAAAATTCAGTACTTATAGAATCATAGAATCAAAGAGTTGGAAGAGACCTCATGGGCCATCCAGTCCAACCCCCTGCCAAGAAGCAGGAATATTGCATTCAAATCACCCCTGACAGATGGCCATATGTATATGTATAATACTCACAGATGCTCCTTGACCTAATTGCTGCTATAATCAACCTAGCATCTAGACCTAGATGAATTCTCAAATTTATCACCCAAAATCTTCAATAGATTGGGCCATTCGGGGATGATAAGCGATTGGTTTGCACTCTTTTAGTTGGAAAGTAGTGGCTATTTTGTTCCCCCACTGTGTCCTTAAACATGAATAATATGAGAAGGATTTTTTTTAAAAAAAAGGTTACTTGAAATTTGAGAAGAAAGAGGCCATTCATTATCAAAGGATCAGAGAATATTAAAGCCTCGATTTATCACCAAATCTTAGGTTTCACACTAGGAAATCTACACCTCCATCCACACAGTAGATTATGAAATGGATTTTGTTAAATGTTGGATGCAAGCAACTTTCATTATTCATCAATAAAAATTTTGCACAAGTGGCTCTGTTTCACTGCTATTGCCCTGAAATCTGTTTTAATGTAGTATTCCTGACCACATCTCAGAGTGAAATAAAATATAATAAACACATTAATTCCAAATACTGTCTCAGTTCTGAGGCTTAGGCAGACAACAAAACCCAGTTAGAGTGACTTGTTTAAGGGCACTTCACACAGCCAGGCAATTTCTTTTGTCACTATAGGACTAGGTTCTCTCCTAAGAATGGGAGGAAAAGTCTGATTTGCTGAGCTTTGAAGGTGTTACTACTTCTCCATCTTTCCTCTGCAGATATTAGTCTTGTACACCACAGAATGAGCCCCAGGTGCTTTGGGCAATTTCCAGACACTTGGATTGACACCACCATTGAAATCTTTAGAAATTGGCACTGTGTGTTTGTATTTTGGGCAGAGGTGGAATTTCACAGCAATGATGCTAAGCCATAGTACTCACTGTTCACAAAAAAATGATGACTGTACAAGCTCATAAAGAGGCTTATCCCTTTGGAAACAATTCTCAACTAGGCCACATTTTTATCAGGACTGTGAAAGAAATAAGATTATGAAGTAAATTATTTGCTTCTTCGTTTTTATTTATTTATGCTAAGGTAAGATGTATTTCAGCCATGATATCTAAGAATGAAGGTTCAAATTTTCTTACAGAAACAAAGATGCTCGCTTGGAATTAGAAAACTGGGGATTGCAACTTGGATGTCAGGCTTCCCTGACCGGCCGCGTGGTCCCCTCAGAAAAAATCCTCATGCAAAATGAGATGGTATGCATTTTACTCCACATACTTCGATTGATTTTAAGGATTTTAACTATTTATTTTTAATACTGTTCATGTTCAATTCAGTTTTGATGTTTGCATATTTTTACATTTTAATTGTCTTGTATTGATTTTATTGTGAGCCATTTTGAGTCTCTAAGAGAGAAAAAGCAGGATATAAACACTACTACTAATAGTTGAATGTGGCTCCTATTAAGGAACACTACAGCAGGATTCCAAGCATTACCTACAGGGACATTGTTTGTACCATATCATTGTTTAACACACATATATCATCCAAGCACAAATGTGAGAGATGTAGGGGTCATCTACCACACTGTAGGATTAATGCAGTTTAACACCGCTTTAACTGCCATGGCTCAATGGGGTGGAATCATAGGAGCAGTAGTTTTACAAGGTCTTTAGCCTTCCCTGCCAAAGACTTCTTTGTGCCTCACCAAACTACAATTCCCATGACACCATAGCAACGAACCATGGCAGTTAAAGTGATGTCAAACTGGGTTGATTCTACAGTGTAGATGTGTGCTAATGGACAGCAGGCACGACTACATGACAATTAGGTTAATATAACTATTACCCATCTTCTTTTGTATTGTAAGAGTCAGCTGGTGAATGAAGCATTGGAACTGCAGATTTGGAGGATTGGAAGGAAAAATATTTAAATCTGACTCTTAATTTGTATCCCAATGCATTTATTATCCTATTCAAGGTAGTTTCTTAATCCTATTTTATCCCCTTTTTTCTGCCATGGTTCCAATGAAAATTCCACCTGTTTTCTGCAGAGCCGCTCTTTGCATCAAGAAGGAGCTTTCTCTCTGTAGAGACATATAATTATGTAATGATTTTTACTGGGCCAGAAAAGAGATTGAGCTCTTTTCCATTTCACTCCCTCATGTTCTTGATGCTATTCACTGTGCTATGCACATTAATTACATAAATTCAGCTGGTATTTTCCCCTTCCTCAAAGGAAATCTGAGATATATACATGTGCATTTTATTTTATTTCTCAGGTTGGTGCTCCGTTCTACTATGAATATGCCTATTACTATTACTTTTCTAATACAATCATGTGCAAGTTTATTCAGAAGCAAATATGTATGACACAGTTAACGTCTCAGTAAATGTGTTTAGGTTTGTTGCTTTCAGTATTGTAAATGTAATACAAATGATTCCCTCATTTATGGAGAAAGTATTTGAAGGTAGAGTGTTTTCAAAACCACCTAAAAAGACTGAGTTGCTGCATTTTTTATCTGTTTATATGTTATATTTTAGGGAAATTGTGAATTTATACACAATTTATAGCCACCCTCTTGAAACAGAATGTAAATTTTTCATTACTGCACAGTTCATTTACAGTTTTCCTCCCTTATATTATTGAGTGAATTTGCATTTTCATTTTTTTTTACTCTTACAGTGCATGCCGATGAATGCTGGCGATTGGCTCAGAGATATGCGGAACATGAAGATCATTAAAGTGCCTCCTTTGGAGAACTGGATGGTGGTGTGCATTCACAGGAACATGGATTTGACCCATGACCTTGTCAACTGTTTGAGAAGAGTGGGAGGCCCTATGGGCTTTCGCATTGAATATCCTAGAGTGTGAGATATATTGTACCACAGACTTAATTTTCTTCCTCTTTAAAAAATCTCCTTCCTCAAACTCCCTTTATACATTAATATTTATGAGTAATGTAGTGTATACTCACCGAGGCTGCAGCCCTACAACAACAACAACAATTATTATTTATTACATTGTCCAGCCTAATGTAAGAGTTCTGGAAGAGAAACATGCTATGGCTCCCAACTCTTCACCCCCAGGACTCACAGTTTGATAGCTTCCTTCAACAGCTATTCCATTATTGCTAGAGAGTGGAGAGTGAGATAAAAAAAATGTCTGTGCTCCTAAGTACAGGAAAGACATCGGATTCTGTCTGATCTTGGAAGCTAAGCAGGGTCATCGAGGGAATTCAGAGTCCCACTCTATTCTACTTTGATCAGATTTCATTAGTTTCAGACACCACAATCCAAGAGGGATATTGACAAGCTAGAATATGTCCAGAGAAGGGTGACCAAAATGATCACAGGTTCCTAAAGGTCCGAGGAATGGCTTAAGAAGCTGGGTATATTTAGCTTGGAGAAAAGAAGGCTGAGATAGCCATGTTTAAATATTTGAAACAGTGTCACATTCAGAAGGGGCCAAACTTATTTTCTGCTACTCTAGAGACTAGAACATGGAGCAATGGAGTCAACCTAGAGAATTCCACCTAAACATTAGGAAAAACTTCTTGACAGTAAGGGCTGTTTGGCGGTGGAATTGCCTCAGAATGTGGTGGAGTCTCCTTCTCCGGATGTTTTTAACCAGAGGCTAGATGGAGGTGTTTTGATTGCATTTTCCTGCATGGCATGTTGGACTGGATGTGGTCTCTTCCAACTCTATAATTCAGTGATTTTATGGACAGTTGACACCCACAGGATGATCACACAAGATTATCCATATGTCTAATCACTTTCAAGTTTAATCATTCATTTGCTACTCACCGCTCTTCACGTTTCGAGGCTGGATGCAACATAGTTAAAACACATAGTTAAAACAAAGGACCAGAAAAAATAAATATATTTAAAAAAATGGAACAAAGACTCAAACACTGATACTAGTGAAATGTAAAGAGCTCAATTGATTTATCATGAAATGGTGATTGTATCCACCCTGAAGTTGCTGAAGCATTTGAAACTATAGCCCTGTTTGAATTCACCCACTCTCTTGAAGGTGATTCCTAATAGTGTTTCTTTTGGTTTCTCTGGGACAATTTTTTTTAAATTGCCTTCTTTAGTAATTTCAGCTGTGATCCTTTGGTTGATTACTTACTGCCTTGCTTTGACCTCAGACACATTTTTCTGGGGTTTTTTTTGTTTTTGTTTTTTTGCCTCTTAGTCTTGCAAGTTTTCATATTGATAGCTCTAAATGCCATCTGTTGGGGGTGCTTTGAATGTGATTTTCCTGCTTCTTGGCACAGGGTTAGACAGGATCGCCCATGAGGTCTCTTCTAATTCAATGATTCTATGATTTCCTTGGTAGCCTTCTTTCCACTCTAGTATCAGATGAGCAAAGATACTCTATCTTTCATCTCTCCTGGCTGTAATTTCCCCCTCAGTTTTCAAGGAATATTGGCCTTTGTTCAATCAGTATTTCACTGATCTTCTGAATCTCTATAGGTACCCAAGCCAAAATCAGCCTGATATCCACTCTCTTGTCAGTTAACACATATATGATAGCTATTCATACACACACACACACACATATGTAGTGTTGTATCCCATAGAAAACAAAAAAAAATTTCTCTTGTGGCAATTTTACCCTATCAGTTACTATTTGTAAACAATGTCTGTACATTTTGCTACATATTAGAGCTGTTTCCCTTGCCTTTCGTGATATTGTACATCTATTTTATGTGTAGTAACAACTTGACATTGCTGTTGATGATTACTGTTTGCCAGTGGGAAGCTGATAATACATTGCTGTCAACACATGCAATATTGGGCTTTCTTGCAAAATTATATGCCATCTTGCACTTCCAAGAATTTCCTTAAAATATATATTTGTTCTAAAATTATAGTTGATTAAATGGTTGTAATAAAAGTATTACATTACTGTAGTTTCAAGGGGTTTCCCACTACCACAAAACTCACTATTTTTGACATTTAACTTGGTCCCATGTGTATAGTGTTGTTGCACGACCTCCTTTTTCACTCTTCCTTTTTGCACCATTGTAAAGTCATTTTGCACAGTAATCCCTGCAGCAATATCAGATGTGTGCAGAACATACAGATAATTTCTGTCTTAAATTGAGCTTTATCTCCTTGGCAAGACAACAGTGTGCTCTGTTCTGAGAGATATATTTCAGACTGCCTCTTGCAAGGTTAGCCAGCCTTATGTTCTGAAATGTGTTGTGATTTTGATTTTGATTTTTTGTTTTTGTTTGCAGTGTTCAAGTACCAGATAGCCCCCTGGCGTTTGTGCGAATCCTGCAACAGCATGTGAATCCTGAACAACAGTTGGTGTGTATGCAGGCTTGATAAGCATTGCTTAAAAAATGTTTGAAGGAAGCCTGTCACCATCTGATGTTCAAAAGCTTTGAATAGCTTTTCTTTGAGTTGCTCTAATGCACATGCCATATACAAACAAGCACACAGCTAACATGGCCTTTTGGGTGCCCATCTTGTAAGCAAATGCCCAAGTGCCCTTGTATGAGGTAGCTGCCTCTGTCCACTTAACATGCGTCTTAAGCATAACATGGAAGATCCTGCTAATGTATCAAGGGATACACATATTCTGTAAGAAATACATAGAATAAGCAGATTTGCATCAAAATGTATGGTATCTCTAGTTTTAAGGCACACACTAATATCCATACCACCATCGACAAAAAAAGCTTTATGTCTATGAAAGACAAAGTATGTATGTCTGTTCCACAAAAGCTGTTGCTAGATGACAATCCGGTGGCTGATTGTGATGTCACTGAGTTGGTGGTTGTTAGGTGAAGGGTTGTCTGTTGCTAGGCAAAGTGGCCTTCTGCAATGTCACTGGGAAAGAAAGGTAATGTGTATGAGGGGAAGTGAGGAAGAAAGGAAAGAGCCACAGAGACCTATGTTGCCATAGAGACACTGTGAGGCCCTCTTAGAGCTGGAAGAGAGAGAAAAGGAAAGGGAGGAAGGGGAAAAAAAGGAGTGAAGGAATACAGAAAATGTATTGAGGGAGGGAAAGAAAAAGAAGGGATAAAAATGGGGTGGCCCTCCAACACCCAAGCAATGCTGGGTAGATATCCATATATACATGTGTGAGAGGTCTATTATCGATCTCACCAGTGATTCTAAGACATGTCTTATTTTTAAAGATGTTTAGGGGGGAGGGGGGGATTGCATGTTATAATCAAATTATAGTAGTGTGAAAGGCTCAATATTCAATATTCTGGCCACTCTTCTCCTACTCCCATATTTTTTCATTCTCCCCATACATTTCATATTCACTGATCCCATTTTGCCTGTGGTGCAATCTTTATATATATATATATATATATATATATATATATATATATATATATATATATATATAAATGGAAATCTTATAGTTCCCTGCTTATACTTCCATCTTGTGGTGCATTTTAGCATTCACAGCTTGAAAATCAGAAATTAAAGGAATTGCATTCTTCCCAATACAAAGTTGCTTTTCCAAGAACCAGTGTGATGTAGTGCTTTGATTGTTGGATTGTGACCTTCAGGACCAGGATTTGAATCCCTGATCAGCCATKGAAACTCASTGGATGATCTTGGGAAAGCCACAGTGTCTTAACTTCAGAGAAGGGCTAAAGGCAAACCTTGCCAAGTAAGCCCAATGATAGTTTGCTTGCTTTAGATCATTGGTTCTCAGGTGTTTTGGCCTTCAAGTCGCAGAAATCCTAACAGCTGGTAAACTGGCTGGGATTTCTGGGAGTTGTAGGCCAAAACACTTGGACCCACAGGTTGAGAACCACTGCTTTAGAGTYTCCATAAGTCAGTAATTACTTGAAGGCACACAACAACCAAACTTYATGGCAGGAGTAAAGGTAGACCCAGGACTTGAATAAAATCTACATATTAAAGACAGCTGCATAGTTACTTGGTGGTACTCTGCAGGGTTCCAGCGTAGTGGGTCATGGATTATGTTAGTCTCTTATCACTTGTTATACACATGACTGGTTATGTCTGGTTATACATGTTCTATTGCCCATTTGTAGGTGATGTGTGTCCTGCCCTCGGATCAGAAGGACTGTTACGATTCTGTAAAGAAGTTTATGAGTCTTGAGCAGCCGGTACCTAGTCAATGTGTACTTGCTCGCACCCTGAGCAAGCAAAGAATGATGATGAGTGTGGCCACAAAAATTGCTCTGCAGATCGCCTGTAAACTTGGAGGAGAGCTATGGGCAGTTGAGATACCTGTGAGTAATTGTCCTGTTTTTCCATCCTTTCAACTCAAAGCAGGTGCTGACAGTCACTATGTGCATGCTATTTGACATTTAAAGCTAATATTAATATGAACAGCCTTCTCTAAGCTCTCTGAATTCTTAGTTCTGTATGGAGGTCCACCACATCTGCTGGATGGCCATCTGTCAGGAGTGCTTTGAATATGATTTTCCTGCTTCTTGGCAGGTGGTTGGACTGGATGGCCCATGAGGTCTCTTGCAACTCTGATTCTGTGCTCACAAGAGAATAGTTCAGCACACCTTATTAAACAGGTCTCATAAGTGTTTTCTAGTAAGTAGAATTCATGAGTAGTTATGTGATATGTAAAGAAGAAGGCAATATTATATATACTCAACAACAAGGTATCCATATGGGCAACAACACTGTAAAAAAGGAATGACGTTAGAAAGCTGGATGTTTGAAGGATGAAATGTTTACAGAAACAAGCAGCTGTTTCAGACAACTGTTGCCAACCCTCTTCAAACCAGAATATAAGAACCATATTGGATCTGACCAAACTCATCTTCAGAACATCTGAAGCTCAGAGACAGAACATAAGGCCATTGCACCCTCCTGCTCATGTTACTCTGGCATTAAGAAACATTCTGCTACAGTATTGGTACTGCCATTTAGTCATTGAAACTATTCGCCATTAATGACCTTATCTGCTATGGACCACCATGTTCTTTTATGCCATGTGTGCATAGAGCATTTATGTCACATAATTTTAGGAACATATCCCAGGATGCTTCACAGCTATTGTTATTCACCTGCTAATATTGGATCCTAGGTTTTGCCACAGCTCTAGAGAAACCATGACCTCTGCTTAGCCACTAATTCAGTTTGCTATTTTCTAACAGCTAAAATCACTCATGGTGGTTGGCATTGATGTCAACAAAGATGCTGTGGCCAAAGGAACCTCAGTTGTTGGTTTTGTAGCCAGCACAAACACCTCAATAACTAGGTAAGATTTTTTTTCCATCATAAATTGAACCTTTCAGAAGATTTCTATTCAGGTCAGGTGTTGCAGTGGCAGCTGAATTCTATGTAGTGTGAAGATGCGGATCCGACATTACTGTGCAAAGCTTTATTAGTGTGCTGATGAATGCCAGTATGCCACTACTTTAATAGTTGTTATGGAGATAGAGCAAAGCTTTGCTTGCATTACCATTCATTTCCCATTTGTTTCCCCAAGAATGTGGAGGTTATTGTTTGAATCAATTTAGCTGTAGGTTATAAATATAGGAATTAGCAGATGGTGGAACCCAAGCTTATAGTGTATTCTCTGAAGGACACCTTTCTGTTGGTGGCTTTTGTTCGCTATGCTAGCTAGGAGTGGTGGGAATCATAATTTATCATGTATAATTTACCCCCGGTTGAAAATAGCTATTATGGATAATGTAGAGCAGTGGTGTCCAACCTTTTGACTTTCCTGGGTCACATTAGAAGAAGAATTTTCTTGGGCCACACATAAAGTATGCTAACAATAACAATAACAGATAAGCAAGAAAAGAAGGGGTCGTTTGTCCATAATTTTTGTGATATCTGCCAAAAAAAGTCCTTGCATCATAATCCCATTCAGAGGTCTTTTAAAGTCATTGAGCAGGTCTTCTGACTGAACCGTTTGCAATATAATGCAAATTACAGATAGTACTCTGCCATTTGTAGGCATAACGTACCTTGAATTTTCTGTTCTATTCCATTGTTGTCTGCTAAGTTTCCACTTGAGAACTGCACAATCGAGTTACAATCCACCCCCACCCCCACCTCAAATCTTATAATGTTTTAAATAAACTTACTGATTCTGTCAAGTATAGACATTAGAGAGATTCTTATAAACCTGTCTTGTTATAACTGTGTAATAGCTTTGTAACATTTTTTCTTCCCTTTCACAATTAGGTGGTACTCGCACTGCGTAATACAAAAAGCAGGAACCATTACTGCAGATTGTTTAAAGGTCTGCATGGAAGGTAGGAATATTATATGTATTAATGAAATACACTTTGCTGTTAAGAACCTGTTTGTGTGAACTATTAATTTTTAACTAGTTTTGAACAAGACAATAGCAATCTTCGGTGTAGATGTATTTCAGAAACACGTTTGCCAATTCAAGGTGTCCAAAACTGAGAGCAATACTTGGTTTCTCAGTTACTTTTCTGCTATGATCTCAGTTAGGTTTGCTCTATAGTTTTTCTCACATGGAACCATTCACATGATTCTTTTCTCTTTTATATGTTTCTGTAGGTGCTATCAACAAATGGCAAAGATGTAATGGAGAGCTGCCTGCACGGGTAATTGTGTACCGTGATGGCGTCGGAGATGGGCAGCTGAGGATGGTGGTGGACTATGAGGTCCCACAGTTACTGAGTGTTCTTAATGAATGCGGTGGTGGTGTTAGGTAAATAACTTCCAGCCTGCTATTTGTCTTATCTCCAGATGGTTCAAACTGTATTTCTCCAATGTGCACCTCATCAAAAAACAGGATTAGGAGTCCAGAAACATGGTTTGAAACATCTTCTATTGTTATAGTTATGGTGTATTTATATAGCATCCTCCTATATCTTCCTTCCTCTTCTTTCTTTCCTTTTTCTTCCCTTACTTGTTTTTATTCCCTCCCTTGTATCAGTCCTTCTTTCCTCCCTTCCTTTCCCCCTTTATGATGTATTTATATATCACCTAAGATGTAAAATGAACACCTTCAAGAGCTCCCAAAACCAGCCCTTCTCCAAACAACACTCAAGGATCATCTACCCATGGGACATCTTGAAATGCTGAGGAACATTGGAATAAACTGAAAACCTCTATCATTACAGCTTGTGAACAAATCCATTGGATATAAAACTAAGAAACATCAAGACAGGTTTGGTGAAAATGATAACAAGATCCAACAGTTAATCTATAAGAAAAGGAAAGCTTTCCAAATATGGCAAAGAGACTCCAACCATGCTGTTAAGAAGAAGATCTACACTAGTGCAAAAGCTGAGGTCCAAAGAAGGACTCGAGAACTCAAAAACATCTGGTAGACAAAAAAAGGCTGAAGAAATCCAACACCTTGCAGATGTCCATGATGCGCGGGGAATATTTAACACTACAAAGATCATCTATGGCCCAACAAATTGTGGCATACACCCTCTACACTCATCTTCTCAACTAAACTTCTAAAGGACAAAAAGCCAATTGCACAGTGTTGGAAATAGCACTACCACAACCTCCTTAACCACAGCTTCAAAGTACAAATCTCTCTTGTAAATCCTGCAGCAACAAAGCCTGGATGAATCATGGAGTGTTTTGAGGATCAGGATATTCATAGGGATACCAAGAGACTTGTTTATTGTCCTCCCCACTCTGTTATACGTTTGCGAAATGTGGACCGTCTAGAGATGTCGCTCTCAACCTCTGGAATGATTCCATCAATGTTGACTCTCTGAAAAATCCTGAAAATCTCTTGGGAAACCAGGCAGACAAATGTTAGTGTTCTGGAAGAAGCAAAGACCACCAGAACTGAAGCCATGATCCTATGCCATCAACTTTGCTAGACTGGCCATGTTGACTGAATGCCTGATAACTGTCTCCCAAAACAGTTACTCTACTTTCAACTCAAGAATGGAAAATGGAATGTTGCTGATAGCAAAAGAGATTTAAAGATGGGCTTAAATACAACCTTAAAAACAGTAGCATAGACACTGAAAACTGGGAAGCCCTGGCCCTTAAGCGCTTTAGCTAGAGGCCAGCTGTTACCAACAGTGTTGTGGAATTTGAAGAGGCATGAATGGAGGGCGAAAGGGAGAAATGTGTCAAGAGGAAGGCATGTCAAGTCAACCCTTGTCAGGACTGCCTTCCATCTGGAAATCAAATGTCCTCACTATGAAAGAACATACAGATCCAGAATAGGTCTCTACAATCACCTATGGATCCATCGCCAAGATCCTGCACTTGGAAGGCAATCATATTTGGCCATGTGGGATTGCCTATGATGATTATACCACCATCAGTGCACATGGCACTATTCAAAAAGCAGCAAAAACAGACATCCTACTAAAGGTGTACAATCTAATAACAAATTGTTCTTCTGTAGGTGCTATCTACCACCTACAGAACAATCCATGATTTGCATTAGTATTTTCACTAGTTTCTATCAAACCACAGTGTAAGTCTTCCCTCAAGCCACAGGATGCTTTGGAGCGAAGTAGTTGGAGCTAATGATTAGTGATGCTCTTGGTGCTGAAATAACACGAATCATAGCTCTGAAAATGCAATGTGGTTTGGGTTGAGAAGAGAACAAGACATATACATGCATAAGAAAATGAATTTTCAAGAACTGGTGAAATGATTGGGCAGCGTTATATTTGCATCAGGCTACTCTTGCAGTTATGAGATTCTATTTTAGATCCCATCCTTATTCTAAAGGCCATGAATCAATCAGGGTTATTGAAATCAATATTTGCTCTTTCCCAGCAACTCCTGCTTAGCAGTGAAAGTGAAAAACGAGAGCTTAGCCATCCAATTACTGACTCCCTTTATTTCTTCACTTTCATCTCAGAAGACCCAAACTGTCTATGGTTGTAGTCAGGAAGAAAACCCTTTGTCGCTTCTTCACTGAAGCCAACAGGAGCCTGCAAAATCCTCCTGTTGGGACAATTATTGACATGGAGGCCACTCGACCTGAATGGCAAGTATATGTTGGCATAAGATCAAAGCCAGTGGAGAACAACTACATATCAGTTGAATGGGGGGATTGTAACTTTACTCAGCAAGCACTTTCAGAAGTGATTGCAGGGGCTGCATGGGAGGTCTGAATAAAGAACAAAGAGACTGGCTTGGGAGGGGGAAAAGTAAATTATAAGAACTTCAGTTAAGGGTAGGAAATTGGTTTGAGATAGCATACAAAGGATATATTCTCAAGAGAGAGCTCGAAGAGAGCTGACAGGGAGAAAGGAAGTGAAGTCAGAAGTATCCGTTTACATCCCAGATGTGAGCGAGACATATGCAAGTAGAGGAAATGGATTAATCACTTTAACTTCATAAGGCTTTCTTTGCATTGTTGTGTACTTCCAAGGATAGTGGTTTCTGTATTAGACTATGATTTTAGAGATCAGAGTTTGAATTACCATCAGTTCATGGGAATTCGTGGGTGACATTGGGCAAGCCACATTCTCGTGGCTTCAGAAGAAAGCATAGGCAAACCTTTCTGAACAAATTTTGCCAAGAAAATCCTTTGATACATTTGCTTTAAAATTGCCATAAGTCAAGGTATAATTGCTTTCAACAGTGCTTTCCTTATTATCTATCCCATCCTGGATTGGACAACAGGATTCATATTAGGTCCCTTTTAATGAGCAAGATGGACAAGGAAGGATGCCCAGAATCTATGGAGGCAGGTCAAGCCATGTGCTAGACCCTTCTACTTATCTATGACACAAGAAAATAATTAGAAATAGTGGAATGCAAATGTATGCATTAATTATTACTTTACATGCCTTAGGAAAGTGTGGTTGACCTTTGTAAATTAGCATATACTAATTGTAATAGAGATCTTCTAATGAATATCGCTGTTATTATTATTAACATAGTCATACTATAATTTCTCCTGCCACTAATTCTAATCTTTCTGTAAAGGTATGACTTTTTCTTAGTAAGTCAGCATGCTCGCCAAGGGAGTGTGAATCCTACTTACTATAATGTAATCTATGACGACAATGGGTTAAAGCCAGACCATATGCAGCGCCTCACATACAAATTGTGCCATCTGTACTTCAACTGGACTGTAAGTAACATAGTCGGATATACAGTCAGTATTGCTTGTGGTCACTGCCCATTCACCCATCTTGGCTGGGTCATCTCTCAAGAGTGCTTTTGTTTTAATATATTCTTGCATGGCAGAGGGTTTAGATTAGATTTCCCTTTCTTGGGGTCCATTCCAGCTCTGTGATTCTACCATATCTGAAAGAAATAACGGTTGATAAGTCTCAAAACAGCACGCAGGGTTGTAAATCAGAACGTTTTATCATCAAGCTTGCAGTCTACCTATATATCAAATTAAAGTATTGATTTCAATTAATTTAGCCATGCATTTCTCTGTAAAATTAACATATTGCCCACATTCATAAAATGCATGATGCAAAGATGTGTGATCTTTTAAGTAACTTGCACAGTCATTGAAAAAGAAAAGGCTTCCAAATCTCAAATAATGGGCATCTAGCAGTTCCGGAAAGGAATGCCTTTTCCCCCCTTCCCCAGCCCTCATCGCTCTAGTGCAGTGGTTCTCAACCTGGGGTCCCCAGATGTTTTTGACCTTCAATTCCCAGAAATCCTAATAGCTGGTAAACTGGCTGGGATTTCTGGGATTTGTAGGCTAAAAACATCTGGGGACCCCAGATTGAGAACCACTGCTCTAGTGGCTTTGGAATCTCCTTTGGGAGAATAAAGCAACATTTTGGTGATGGTAATGGTGATGATTATGATAATAATAGTAATAATGCCATCAGCCTAGGTCCCATCATCCCAGCACATACATGATGATTAGAGATGATAGGGTTGTAGTCCATTACACTTCGCTTCTGGTGTGAGAAAATTGGTTGTCTGCAAGGCCGTTGCCCAGAGGACGCCCAGATGTTTTGATGCTTTCCTAGCCTTGTGGGAGGCTTCTCATGTCCTCACATGGGAAGCTGGAGCTGACAGAGGGAGCGCACCCTGCTCTTCCTGGATTCGAATCTCTGACCTGTCGGTCTTCAGTCCTGCTGGCACAAGGGTTTAACGCAGGGGTCCTCAAACTTTTTAAACAGAGGGCCAGGTCACAGTCCCTCAAACTGTTGGAGGGCCGGATCATAATTTGAATTCCTATGCACACTGCACATATCTTATTTGTAGTGCAAAAACACTTTAAAACAATACAATAATTAAAATGAACAATTTTAACAAATATAAACTTAATAATTCAATGGGAAGTGTGGCCTGCTTTTGGCTGATGAGATAAGATTGTTGTGTGCTTTCAAGTTGTTTCAGACTTAGGTTGACCGTGAGCGAGGGCCAGGTTAATGACCCTGGATGGCCATATTCGGCCCACGGGCCTTAGTTTGAGGAACCCTGGTTTAAGCCATTGTGCCACTGTACAACAGAAGCGACTTGCAGTTTCTCAAGTCACTCCTGACACGAAAAAAAAGTCCATCGCATTTTCAGGCTGCCAGATTAGGAAACAGTGCTCTTTGGACTCAGAGTAGTGCTTTCTTCAGACTTGCACATTTTATGGCACTCTATGCCAAAAATATAGTTCACCAAAAGCTCAATAACTTGTTGTTGTTACCCATCTTGGACTATTAAAATAACGTATCACTTTGCAAAGAATTCATGGACTGGTATTCTATATGTAAAGGAATGCATCTCCCTGTATATGTCTGCTCAAGATCTGGAGAAGTCCTCTGTTTGCCATCTGCCTGGGTGATACAGAAGGAGTCCTTCTCTCCTATAGACATCACAGTTGTGGGTTACCCCTTAGATGTCCACTAGGTTTCAAGATTGGTCTAATTCCAGAACTGGATAAAACATGGCATTTTACTCAAGCTTTTGGGGCCTAATTGAACTGTTCTAACTGGTTTAAACTCTCTTGTTTCTACTTAAGATGCTTTTCATGTGCATTTAGTTTATTTACATTCCTGTTTGCTGTACTAAGTTGGTTGCATTTCTTTCTGTCCTGAGATCCTTAGATACAATTAATATAATTATTAAAATTATAAAGTTTGTTTTAAACATCTTAGAAGTAATTTCCTGTTTTCAGAAATGGCAAGATATCTGATCTCTGTTTTTTCCATTTGTTCTCTAGGGCCTAATCCGAGTCCCAGCCCCATGCCAATATGCCAGCAAGTTGACTTTTTTGGTGGGCCAAAGTATCCATAGAGAACCAAGCTTGGAACTTGCTGACAAGCTTTATTATTTGTGAAAAGTGTTGAGATGACCTCTGTTAAGAGGAAGAAAAGATTACAGATGATAGAGTTAATTAAAATGCAAACATACCTAGAAGAGTTATATTTCTGTTATGTTGAATTGTTGCTTTTGGAATTAAAGTTACATACTCTGCTTACACAAGCTGGTCTTGTAATTGTCTCCATGGGCACAGCATATTAATATTTTGCTTTATTTATGTCTAGTACACAACTTCAGCTAGGCTAGGACATATTACATGATACATTGTCTGTGTCCTGAGGTCACGCCTTCTTATTTTTTAATGCAGTTGTAATGTGAGCCCATCAGCAAACTCCCTTTGTCCTCTTCAACCCTATCACCTCCAACTGCTGCTGTTTGTTTATTTACAACCTCATGTAAAGTTCTCTAGTGAACTAACAGTGAATACAACTATTCCCTACTTGCTTGCTGGATAGTGAGTTTGGAGGCTAACAGGCAGCAGCAGCTGTTTCTTTTCTTTCTTGCTTCTGCTGTTCACTCTCTCGCCCCCCTGAAGGGAAAATATACAAGCAGGTGAGTAAGGAGTGGAAATCAGAGCGTACATGAAAGTGGATTCCCTGCAGCACTCTGGATTTTAGCATTTTTTTTCCAGGTAGCGGACCAACACCTGAAGCTGGTTCTCCCTCCATCTCAGGCCCCTTCCACACTAACCCTATATCCCAGGATCTGATCTCAGATTATCTGTTTATCCCAGATTATCTGGCAGTGAAGACTCATATAATCCAGTTTAAAGCAGATAAACTGGGATATTTTATTTATCATATCAGAAGCAAACCAAGGGTACAGTTGAAATGTATTTAAAAAGCACAAAGTCTAAAAACTTGGCATTATATTAAATGTCCTTTGACCAGTAGCTGGCAACTTGGAGTGTCTCTGGTGTTGCTATGAGGAGATCCTCTATTGTGCATGTGGCAGGGCCCAGGTTGCATTGGAGTAAGTGGTCTGTGGTTTGCTCTTCACTCTTGCATGCTATAGACTCCATTTTGTGTCCCCATTTCTTAAAGTTGACTTTCATCTTGTGCTAGAGCGCAGCCTATTTAGTGCCTTCCAAGTCGCCCAAGTCTTCTGTGTGCGCAAGAGGAGCCTATCATTCAGTATCAGCCATTGCTTGAGGTTCCAGGGTTTTGCTTGCCACTTTTGGACTCTCGCTTGCTGAGGTGTTTCTGTGAGCATCTCTGTAGATCTTAGAAAACTATTTTCTAATCTGGGATAAGATTCTGAGACATAGGGCAGTGTAGAAGGGGCCTCAGTAATACCCAAAAGATTGAGAAAATCATAGAATAATAGAGCTGAAAGAGACCCCCAAGAGATACCCAGTCCAGGACCATTTCTGCCATGCAGGAACACCTCTAACAGATGGCCATCCAGCCTCTGCTTAAAAACCTCTGGAGAAGGAGGGCCCATCACACACTGAGGACATAGCTTATTCTGGTGCCAAGCAGCTCTTACAGTCAGGAAGTTCTTCCTAATGTTTTAGTGGAATCTCTTTTCCTGTAATTTGAATCCATTGTTTTGTTTCCTAGTTTCCAGCAGAAAACAAGCTCTGGAGACTTTAATATGACTTCCTTTCAAATGTTCCAACATGGTTGTTATGTTCCCCCTTGGCCTTTTTCCCCCTCCAAGCTGAACATACCCACCTTGCTCAAAGGGCTTGGTTTCCATGGGAAACAAGGAGCTGTTGCTTCTCCATAGATTTTTCATTCTTCCTTCTACAGATGAGTACTTTTTGTAATGTTGGATTTCCCTCACTTCACACAGGAAGATGATTTTGTGAGACACGGTATACTGAACTATGTTTTGAGGAATAGGGGCGGGAGATATATAGAGAAGTTGATACATTTGTATTCTGTATTTTCCTATAATTTGACTTTGACAAGTCATACAAAGTAACAGAAATGTTGAGAATGTTACAAATTCACAGGTTAGAGTAAGAGAGCAGTTACTGCCCGCCTACATGAGCTACTCCAGCAGCATAGCTGGCCATAATGAATAGAAATGTTCTAAAAAGAAAAAAATCACCTTGGAAACAAATTAACCATTGTATTTCCTATTATATCAGCACTTGATTCAAACTAAGCGCAATTATATTCCTATGGATTTATGGTTAGCTTCACTTTGTTCCTCAAAGCCAAGATCCACAGGTTGGGTCTGTTCAGTGATGAAGCTAGTTTGGTAGTTGGTTGGTGAGATTATCCACGAAGCCCTTCTCACAATGGTTCTGCATGCGCTGGAAATTCATGCTCCAATCTCTGTGGCTTAGGCAGCTATTTCGATAGCACTGGTTCACACTGGAAAGAAATCCAAGTTCAATAAAAGCAAAACTTTTATTCCATGGCATGTCGTTGAATACTGTGAAGACAGAAGACACAGATGCTACTACAGAGAGTGCTCAAACTCTACATCTTAAACAAAAAAAAACATGCTTATATATAGATCTAACATTTAGTCTTCAGTAGCACTGTAAAAAATCTTGGAAAGGTCAAGCTTCCTTTTGTATTAAGACATGCCATGTTGGCTTTCTGCCCCGAGTCATCCTTGATACATGGTCTGTTATAGGTTGTACATGCCAGCTTCCTGGTGTTACTCCTTAATAATTTCATTCATAGCTTATTCAAATTACTTCATTATATATTGTTTCAGCGATTCTTACAGCAGCTGCATTAGGTGAATAATTGGAATTAAGTTGTCTCCTCATTAGAGAAAGGAAATTGAAACTGATAAAATGAACTGCCAACCTAGCAGTTCAAAAACAAAATGTGAGTAGATCAATAGGTACCGCTATAGCGGGGAGGTAAAAGGCATCCATGCAGACGTGCCGGCAATAAGATCAGGAAGGCGTCCACAGACAACAGGCTCCTCAGAGTTGAGCACAGCCTCTGGACTTCGGAGATGAAAAGGGAAGCCTTTTCTTTATAGTTAACTGTATAATGGCATTGAATATTTGCCATATCTGTGTATTTTGTAATCCACTCTGAGTCCCCTTGGGGAGATAGAGCAGATTATTATTATTATTATTGTGAGTAGGTTCTTGTGGGTTTTTTCGGGCTATAGGGCCATGTTCTAGAGGCATTTCTCCTGATGTTTCACCTGCATCTATGGCAAGCATCCTCAGAGGTAGTGAGGTCTGTTGGAAATAGGACAATGGGTTTATATATCTGTGGAATGGCTGGGGTGGGGCAAAGAGCTATTATTGTGTATTATTGTGTATTATTCTTACTTAAGACTACATATATGTAGAGGCTGCTTCAGAAATGAGCAAATCTGTTAGGAGGTTGTAATGTTTGTTGCTGTAGGGTTTTAAATATAAAGATAACATTTATGTTTTAGTTCTGACAATTCCTGGCACTAGCTGCAACATTTTATTCCCAACCTTGAGTAGTTTACTTTTAATTTTAAGATATACATGGATTATTGTAGCTGATGTTGTTATCATTATACCACCTTTTCTCCAAGAACTCAAGGTGGCATCAGAATACTGATGGCACCCAATCCCAAAACTCTTAAGACTCCTCTCCATTATGTAGATCAGTGGATCCCAATCTGTGGTCCCCAAGAACTAAAATATGATCTGCGGCCTCACTGTTACAACACCAATGCAACAAGAGCAACTGGTCTTGTGAAACCCTCTTATAGTGCTGAAGCAATGGGGATATCAGGAGGGAAGAGAGTGACTACCCACAAAAGGTGCCACAAGCCTCCTTACTGCTGCTTCTCCTCCTCCTTCCCTCTGAGTGGAGCCGTTCCATGTGGTGCCTTGGTGTCTTTGTTTTTAGGCTTGTTCCTGGGATTTTTTCAGGTTCTGATTCAGAGCATCACATTGGATAGACCACATCAGCTCTAGATTATTAAGTATGGTTTTCTGTAGGCAAGCAGATAGTGACCACTGGATGGCATATGTTCTCTATCAGAAACTAGAGCTAATGTGGTCTATCCAATGCAATTTTCTGAATTAGAACCCCAGATAACCAAACTGAATTTAAAGTTCACCAAAAACTGATTTGTAACCCTTTTGGTACTAATGTTGGAGAGTGGTCCCTGGTGAAAAAAAGGATGGGAACCACTGATGTAGATGTTAAAAAGCAAGGGGGCATATTGGAGCCCCACAGGCTCCAATTTTCCTGATTCTTGGCAGGGGGTTGGACTGGATGACCCATGAGGTCTCTTCCAACTCTATGATTCTAATGAATATCCACCCAAGAAAGATCAGAACCATTGCAAAACAAAGCCCCTCCAAGTCCTGTATCTGCCAGACAACCCAGAAGGATACCATGGTGGATAGTATCAAATGCCACTGAAAGATCAAGGAAGGATAACTGGGATCTACTCCTTCTGTCCAACTTCTAATATAGGTTTTCCATCCTATCTTACCTGAACACATATGGATCCAGGTAATTTGTTCAATTGAATAAATCCTGGAGTTTGGGGTTTTGTTTTAGATTGGTTTTGGTTTTGCTACCATTCGTTCTAGAACTTTATTTTAAAAGGGGGGATTCATCACTGACTAATACTTTAGAGAGGCCAAGTTCAGTAAAATCCCGTAATTGTGCCCCTCCACCCAATTAAGGCTCTCACATTGCTTCTTTCAGAGAGGTTGGAATATAACACTTTCAAAGAAGGATTTCCAATCTCCAAAACCCTATAGGCCAGTCCTCTAGCAGTTTTTAATTGGCCAGGATTGACATGGCGGTAACAGACAGGTCGTTGGTCTCATCTCTTCTAGCAACTTGTCCACATCACGTTGAATGAAATGAAAGTCATCCATCAAAGCCAGACAAGTACGTGTCTCAGTGGTCCCTGCAGATTCTACCTTCGATGTGGAGTCCTGCTCAGAATGAATCAGAGCAATTTTCTCCACAAAATATTGAGCAAATTCATTACAACCCTTTTGTGAGGACACCTGCTCAGCAGTCTGATGTCTAGGAGGTAATTACCCCTTACCCAGAACACCTGTGTTGGATGAGAGCTGATATAACAGAGTAAGCAAAGAACCATTTATGAATCGATCCTAAAGACGGCCTTAACCTATACTCAGCCAGATTCATCCTGAGTCTTTCTCTACCATCACTAGGTTCATTGATTGAAGCCTTGAGCTCCTCAGGAACCAATGCTCTGCATTCAAGCAAGGGCACTTGGAGCCCTTCCACACAACCCTATTATTCCAGAATATCAAGGCAGGAAATCCCACATTATCTGAATGTGGACTCCGATAACCCGGTTCAAAGCAAATCTTTTCTGCCTTGATATTCTGGGATATAGGGTTGTGTGGAAGGGCCCTGGGTAACAACTGTGTCAGTTTGTKGGGTCCACAGATCAGCCATGACATCAAGGGAATAATAAATTTGAACAGCTGGAAAATTCCCTAGAGCATTCAGGGATCCATAAGTCTWGGTGTGGACCATTTTAATGGTCCCTTTACCCRTGGAGAGTTTAGGAATCCCAACAAATGTAAACCCTATTAAGTAGTGATTTGTCCATGGTAATAGGCTTATTTCAGAGTGTGACATTATACATGTGTTGGGCCAGATATAAATTGAGATAGGTCCATGKTTGTCATATAAGCCATGAAATCCTGAGTTGGATGAGGGTGTTTCGGCACAGACTTTCATRTCTTTTATTAGAATGTGTTACAGATCAAGGGCCCTGTCAGTGTAAGATTAATGTATAGCGTGTGTTTAAATGTAATTTTATGTACAATGGCTGTGATTGTAACAGGATTGTATTGCCAGAGAGTATTCTGCTACAGAAAGGGTTAAACAGTAGAGTTAATAAGCTGTGAAGATGTGACCCTGAGCGTTACCTTGAGCGAGTAGGGAGGATACAGAGATAAGTCCTTATAGCTTCAATGAATGTGTTCRTCATCTCTTGTTCCTGTCTATCTACTGATGGTGTATGCTGTATATTTGAGCTGCTTAGTAAAGCTAAATATCTGTTTTATACTGAAGTCTCAAGCGTCCATTTCTTCAGAGCTTCAAAAGCTTCTGCAGCACTCTGACAGGCCCTTCCACACAGCCCTATATCCCAGAATATCAAGGCAGGAAATCCCACATCAAGGGAACCACTGACCGCATAGGGAAGCTGATGAGGAAACACAACATACAAACTATCTACAAACCCACCAAGAAAATCCAACAAATGCTACGTTCAGCAAAGGACAAGAGGGATCCTCTCACTTCTGCAGGAGTCTACCGTATACCATGCAGCTGTGGACAAGTCTACAGAGGGATCCCCAAACGCAGCAGCATTGCCCAAACACGAATCAAGGAACATGAAAGGCATTGCAGACTACTTCAACCAGAGAAGTCAGCCATAGCAGAGCACCTGATGAACCAGCCTGGACACAGCATATTATTTGAGAACACAGAAATGCTGGACCACACCAGCAACCACCATGTCAGACTACACAGAGAAGCCATTGAAATCCACAAGCATGTGGACAATTTCAACAGAAAGGAAGAGACATGAAAATGAACAAAATCTGGCTGCCAGTATTTAAAAAAACTCTAAAATTACAACAGCAAAATAGCAGAAAGGAAACAATCAGGCACATCTTAACACCTCTCAACAAAAGATTTTCCCAGGCTCAGCCAGGCCTTCAAATGCTAATGAAGGTGGTCAGTTGAAACATTCACACCTAGCTCCAGCAGGGAAGAGCTCTTTGTCCCACCCTGGTCTTTCCACAGATATATAAACCCATTGTCCTAATTCCAACAGACCTCACTACCTCTGAGGATGCTTGCCATAGATGCAGGCGAAACATCAGGAGAAATGCCTCTAGAACATGGCCCTATAGCCCGGAAAAACCCACAAGAACCTAATCCCACATTGTCTGAGTGTGGACTCAGATAAACCAGTTTAAAGTAGATATTGTGGGATTTTCTGCCTCGATATTCTGGAATATAGGGTTGTGTGGGAGGGCTTCAAGGATGCAGAAAAGTAAGGTTAGATAGAAACACCTATGCAATTGTAGAAGAACAGAACACACAACAAAAATCACTCAGAAGATTGTGTACCGTGTCAGCAGGTTTGAGTGCTAGTTGAAAGAGATGTAATAGCTCAGAGGTATAAGGTGTGGCAAGCTTTCTCAGTCCCCGTCCTACACTGGGGATTAGTCCCAATCACCAAAGGTTTCTCAATCTATTCCAGAAAGTAATCCTTTATGCATAGGAGGGGAGCTGACTTTCACCATTGCTATTTAGCTAATAACTTGCCAGCCCAGGGAGAGGCAACCAAGGTGTGTAACAGGAACATTTGCACACATCTCAAGATTGTCTCCTCTCTGCAATATCATCTGACCCGCAAGCAGATTAATGTCCTCAAGTGATTGAATGGTAGATTAGAATCAAATACAGAAATGTGTGGCTCTCCAAATGTTGTTGGGGATGCAGCTTCCATGAACCCTATTGAGAAGAGGTAGTGGTGATGGATAATGGGAGTTGCAGTCCAACATTTAGAGGGCCATGTAGTACACATCCCAAGTCTATGCATGGATTTCTAGGCGACTAGCAGGTTTTCTGACTCATAGTTAGAATCATAGAGTTGGAAGAGACCTCGTGGTCCATCCAGTCCAACCCCCTGCCAAGAAGCAGGACAATTGCATTCAAAGCACCCCCAACAGATGGCCATTCAGCCTCTGATTAAAAGCCTCTAAAGAAGGAACCTCTACCACAGTCCAGGGCAGAGAGTTCCACTGCTGAACAGCACTCACAATTAGAAAGTTCAGGTGGAATCTCCTTTCCTGTAGTTTGAAGCCATTGTTCTGCGTCCTAGTCTCCAGGGCAGCAGAAAACAAGCCTGCCTCCTTCTTCCTATGGATTCTCCTCACATATTTATACATGGCCATCATGCCTCCTTTCAGCCTTTTCTTCCACAGACTAAACATGCCCAGCTCTTTAAGCCGCTCCTCATAAAGCTTGTTCTCCAGACCCTTGATCATTTTAGTCACTCTTCTTTGGACACATTCCAGCTTGTCAATATCTCCCTTAAACTATGGTGCCCAGAATTGGACACAGTGTGATTCCAGATGTGGTTTGACCAAGGTAGAGGAGAGGGGTAGCATGACTTTCTTGGATCTAAAAACTAGACTCCTATTTATGCAAACCAAAATCCCATTGGCCTTCTTAGCTGTTGCATGACATTGTTGGCTCATGTTTGACTTTTGTCCATGAGGACACAACTTCCCTGGATCTAGGCACTAATAACTGATAATAACAGCAACAAAATGATTTCCTTCCTCCTGTCTCAAGTCTACTACAAAAATGGAGTCAGCTGGGGTTGACTCTGCTTCTACACTGGAGAAAGAATGCATTTTGACACCTGTTTAAAAGCCATGAATAAACACCTATGAAATCATAGGAGTTGGGGTTTTATAAGCTCTTTATCTTTCTCTGCCAAAGAGTGCTGGTACCTCACCAAACTATAACTCCTAGGATTCCATAGCATTAAGCCATGGTAGTTAAAGTGGTGTCACCATTTATTCTAGTGTAGAAGCACTCCAGAAGTTAAGTTTTACATGTAAGGCTGTTGACCTTCCTTCAAGTCTGTTGCACAGAAGTACTATATATCCCTTTTCCCTTATCCTGGTTGACATACCTCGGTGCTCAAGTGAAAAGCAAAGGGAACCTCATTACTTTTGAAGTCAGACCATGCATGCTGCCCTAAGATACAAATGAAATATAGTCGACCCTACAGATCCACAGAATCTGTATTTATTTATTTATTTATTTGGGGTGCTTCTACTCCGCCCTTCTCAACCCCCTAGGGGGGACTCAGGGCGGCTTACAAAAGGCACAATTCGATGCCCAACAATTCACACAATACAATGTACAAATTACAGTATAGCGTCAACAATTATGACTAATTAAAACAATAAAAAAACAATACAATAGCAGCAGTAAAATCATCGTCAATTCATAAATCCGTAATCCATCTCGCATTGTCATTGTCCTTTCCTACTCTGGTCATCATTGTCTTTTGTCCATCTGCCAGCTTACCCGAAGGCCTGGTCCCACATCCAGGTTTTTAACTTCCTCCTGAAAGAGAGGAGGGATGTTGATGACCTAATTTCCCCAGGGAGTGCATTCCACAGGTGAGGGGCCACCACCGAGAAGGCCCTGTCCCTCGTCCCCACCAGCCTCACTTGTGATACAGGTGGGGCTGAGAGCAGGGCCTCCCCAGAAAATCTTAAACTCCGAGGTGGGACGTAGAAGGAGATACGTTTGGACAGGTACGCTGGGCCGGAGCCGTAAAGGGTTTTGTAGGTCAAAACCAGCACTTTGAATTGTGCTCGGAACTGGATCGGCAGCCAGTGGAGCTGACATAGCAGGGGGGTGGTATGCTCCCTGTATGATGCTCCGGTGAGTAATCTAGCTGCCGCCCGTTGGACTAATTGAAGTTTCCAAACAGTCTTCAAAGGCAACCCCACGTAGAGTGCGTTGCAGTAATCTATTTGGGATGTAACAAGAGCGTGGACCACCGTAGCCAGATCTGACTTCCCAAGGTATGGGCGCAGCTGGCGCACAAGCTTTAACTATCCATGGCTTGAAAAAAATGTCTCCCAGAGGAGAAAAAAAAAATCCCAAAAGCAAATCCAATTTTTGCCATTTTAGGGATAGTAATTTACCATGCCATTGTGTATAATGGAAATTGAGCATCCACAGATTTTGGTATCCATGGAGAGTCCCGGAACCAAATTTCTGCAAATACTACAAGCCCACTCTACAATACATTAAGCAGACATTGAATATTTAACATGCCAGCACTGGGATGGGGCAGGGAACTTTTCTTCCTCTTCCTCCTCCTCTTTTCTTCTTTTTTTCTCCTTTTGTTTTGCTACTCTGCATGGCATGGTGTACATTGATGGCCCACTTATAATAATATATTACCAAAGGTAAGAAGTATTGTACAGTAAATATACTCTAATCCTATGCTTTTTCTTCATCTTTTAGCAATTTAAGCCATCTTTTGTCTCCTCCATTTTTTTCCAGGTGCAATGGTTTGATTTTTCAAAGTTAATTATATGACTCCAGCCAATGAATATGCATTCAGAACCTCCCAAAACTTACAGCACTGGCTGGGAGGCCAGGAGAAGTGTTTTGAAGCTCTTGAAAATGCAAGAACAGTCAAATTCCACTCCTTTCTCTGTGCAAACCTTAAGCAAGTCCAGACAATGCCCACATACTTTTGAGGGAGTCATCACCGGATGAAGAGCAAATACTTGTGTGAGGGGGCATATCTTCTTATGACATCAAGGAGAAAAGAGTTTACGGCGCAGAGGTAAGATTTTTCTCTTTGTAGTTTGGAGTTTTGTAAAACAGAACATTATTTACTGCTGGTACACAGATATATATATACACAAGATAGCCAGTTGCTTTGCCCCTCCCGTCCCACAAGAAAAACTTTGGAAGTAAAAGCATGAACAAACAGTCATTTTGTTCAATTCTATGTTTGAGGCAGGAAAGGAAAAGTTTGCTATCCCTGAGTATTTCTTAGTGTGCTTGAACTGGAATTGCTAGATGTTAATGTTATTAATTTCAAATTCAAACAATATAATCTGTTCCTATGAATCTTTGTTTTAGCATTTAGGAAATGGAAAATATTTTTATTTTATCTGAATGGTAATAGAAAGGGTGTTGATCAAATATGGGCAAACTTTCCAACTTGGGGGCCGCATGGCGGGCCAGAGCCGGGTGGGCAGGCCAGGAAAGAGGGAGGGGGTCCTCCACAAGCCCCCTCCCTGGCCTTTCATCCCCTTCCTCTTCTCTTTTGGAGGCAGAAAGTGAAGGAAAGATCAGAAACGTTTGGATCCCAAAAGGGTTGGCCTTGGTCAGGATGAGATGGTGGATGGGAGAGAAAAAGTGTATCCATGAGACCCCCTATTGCCTACTCCTGATATATAATCCTAGAACGCTAGAGCTAGAAGAGATCCCCAAGGGTCATCCAGTCCAACCCCTGCCATGTAAGAAGGCACAACCAAAACACTCCCAATAGACAGCCTCTGCAGAAAAGCCTCCATAGAAAGAAACTCCACTACACTCCCATGCAGCCTATGCCACTCTCCAACAGCTCTTACTCTCAGGAAGTTCTTCCTAACCTTTTCAGTCGAATCTCTTTCCCTGCCATTTGAACCCATTGCTCCTTTGTGATCTGGTCTCTAGAGCAGCAGAAAGTCATTTTGCCCCTCCCTCCTCAATGGGACAACCTTTTAAATCTTGAAACATGGTTCTCACATTCCCTCTCTACCTTCTCTTCTTCCAGCTAAACATCCTCCAGGAAGAAAGGAGGAAGGAAAGAGAGAATAAAGGGAGGGAGGCAGAGAAGGAAGGAAGGGTGGAAGGGAATGGAGGGTGGAAAGAGAGAAGGAAGGAAAGACAAAAGGGAAAGAAGGAAGGAAGGAAAGAAGGAGAAAGGGAAGGAAGGATGAAAGAATGGAAGGGAAGGAAGGAGGGAGGGAGGCAGAGAAGGAAGGGTGGAAGGGAATGGAGGGAGGAAAGAGAAAAGGAAGGAAAGACAAAAGAGAAGGAAGGAAGGAGAAAGAGAGAAAGGGAAGGAAGGACGAAAGAGGGAAGGATGAAAGGATGGAAGGGAAGGAAGGAGGGAGGGAAGGAGGAAGGAAAGAAAGAGGAAAGAAGGAAGGAAAGAAAGAGGAGGGCCTGAGAAAAGGACCCAGGGGGAGGCTGTGATATCGAGCTGCTTTTAGCAGAGTCCCCTCCAGAGAGAGGGACCCGAGGACCGCGCCAAAAGGGCCCTGGATACCTTGGTGAGGCCAGGAAAATTGCCAATTCAGAATAAAAGATAATAATAATAATACCTTACCAGGCGGAAGAAGTCAGCGACCGAAGTTTATTTGCGATTCAGCTGTAATTGGATGCAATGCAGGAATAATTCCACCACAAGCATGGCTGCTAGGATGGTTACAATCATTTTTATAGAGAAGACACAAAGAAAGCAATTCAAAACTCCCGCCCGCCCTCTGCCGGCCGGCTTCGCACTGATTGGCTGGCTGCAGAACAGCTGGGAGGCTTGGCGACCCGCCCCGCCCCGCCTCCGAGCCAATCAGCGTGCTTCTCCGCCTCTGGAGGGCCAATTGGAACGTTTCTCTCGCTCCCGAGAACGGACAAATCAGGAGCGAGAGGGCGGGACAAGCGCACACAATGGAGAAATGATGGGATTACAGCTGACCAGCCAGGATGGAATGCGAGGCTTTGTTCTGGCCGGCCAGGTGTGATCCCAGTAAACAAAAGTCTTCCTGTTGAAATGGCTTTGGGGGGAAAGAAAACACTGGGTCAGACAGTGGACCTCAAAAGGGATCAACGCTGTCTTTGTGAATTTTAATCAATCCTTTTTTCCAGGTTTCTGTTGACTTCCTCTTCCCACTAGACAGGCTCAGAAGGCGGGATGAGGGAATCAACAGTTATTGTTTCATGCCGTTAAGTCAATCAGGGAAGAGTTTCGGGGGAAGCAGAGAATTTCCCCCGGGCATCACAACAACTTCAGGACATACTTTGTGGGGCAAAGGTCAATAGGAAAGGCGGGAACACATTATATTTCATACGATACATTCCATACATAGCTCATAAGGGGAACCCCATCCCACCCCATAAAGTTTATTACAATAATTGATCTTTATTAAAGCACAAACTAGAGATCTCATAAACTTGGGAAAAGATCCGCGGAAACGGAGGCTGCCAGCGTCTCGGACCAGGCACCAGCAGAGAGTTCGTGGTCATGGATATGATAAACAGTCCAGTCCATAAGTCAGGGAGGCACAAAAAGGAGGCAGAAGTCCAATGGTGAGCGCTGGTTTGGATGGTAACAGAGTTCATTGTCCGGCCTTTGGAGAACTATGTCTCTCCTCCAGGGGCCGGGGTTCCCGCCTGGCCGCCTTCCCAGGGCCTCCCATGGGTAGCCATAGTGAGCCCCCGGTTACGGGGCCGAGCTGGAGTGAACGGTGTTGAAGGGAAACAGGCTGCCTTGAATGAGACCAGCGAAATCTGACAAACAGCTGATTTCTGTCAAATATAATACTTTAAACAAAATCTATTATTTCCCGGGCGGGGGAGTTCAAAATGAGGAAAGCAAGATGGCAGTTAGTCTTAGAATTAATAGCAGAAAAATACAAAATTGGAACGGCGTTAATCCGCCATTTTGTTGTTTTAGCGTATGTGGGGGTCCAAAATGGCGGTTTCCTTATCCGCGGTTTCAACGGACGCAGATCTGGCGTTCCGGGGGTGCCAGTAGGCGCCCCTGGCAGGCTCACGGCTCTCCGGAGCCCGGAAAAAGGTTTATTTTCAGGTTGAGTTAGTCTGAGGCATGGAAAAATACAAAAGTATCAAGCAGAAAGATTAAAAGTTGCAAGTTTCAAGTACTTTCATTAGGGGAATGTTACATAGTATGGAGAAGGGAAAGCAAAGGAAAGGCTAAAGACATTCCTGGCTTTGAGCTGCCTGTTGGGGCACATTTCATCAGTTGGCCCCAAACTTGGCTCCCAGGAACTGCGGAACTCTCCGCTGCGGTTCATACTAATTTGAAGGCGGGGGTCTCGGCCGCGCTCGGGCTCAGCTGCATCTGGTCCCTGGGCCTGGGTTTACTCATACCTGGTATTGGTAGTGTTCTCACCAGTGGTATTTCCGTGGCATCTCTTTTAAATAATTTCCTTTATAAATGCTACGACTTTTCAACAGTAGATTCCGAAAGTATGTTGCATTGTTGAGATGTGCTTATGATAAGATGCTTTATTTTAGTATTAATGACTTAAATATCACAAAATCATCAGATCTGATCTGATCTTGGAAGCTAAGCAGTGTTAGCCATGGTTAATACAGGCAGTCCCCAGGTTATGAACAAGATAGGTTTTGGGTTGCTGTGAGTTTTCTATGTTGTCTGGCCATTTTCCAGAAGCATTTTCTCCTGACGTTTCACCCCCAGCTATGGCAGACATCCTCAGAGATTGTGAGGTTTGTTGCAAACTAGGCAAATGGGGGTTTATATATCTGTGGAATGCTCAGGGTGGGAGAAAAAACTCTTGCCTATTTGAGACAAGTAAGAATGTTGCAGTTGATCATCTTGATTAGCATTTAATAGCCTTGCAGCTTCAAAGCTTGGCTGCTTCCTGCCTGGGGGAATCCTTTGTTGGGAGGTGATTAGCCGGCTCTGATTGCTTCTTGTCTGGATTTCCTCTGTTTTTGAGTGTTGTTCTTTATTTACTGTCCTGAAGAAGTTTTTTTCTTAAGTTGAATTTGTGTGCAAGTCAGAACAGGTATATATTTTAAGTGTAACACCATCCAATATATATATATATATATATTAGCTTTGGATAGAAGGGTTAACACCTCTGTGGTGTTTGTTGTGCTGTCTGTATCCTGTTCAGAAGATTTCACCTCACTTTCTGTCCCAGTGAGAATTGGATTTTGCGGTTTATTGTGGAAAAAAGGATTATGGAGAAAGCTTCAGTGAGACAACTTTTCCCCATGATAACTCTTTCAGGAATTAATTTCCCTTCCAAAGGGTAGATTCCTCTCACTTTCTGTTGTCTCACCCCCATTCTTAACTATGAATCATTTGTAAGTCGGATGATTGTAACTGGGTGACTGCCTGTACAAGGATAGGACATTGCCAATGAATCTCAGACACTGCAGGATATACGTATTTCAGAAGAAGGAACTGGTCAAATCACCTTTGAATATTCCTTGTTAAATAAAACCCTATGAAATTCATGGGGTTGCCATATGTCAACAGGCAACTTTGAAGACACATACACATATACAGTTGGGTACTTTTAATTTGATCATTTGAGCGAGGGCTTACAAGGAATGCTATGGAATCAGTGTTTAAGGCCTGGAGCAGTAATAGGAGAAACAGTAGCCACCATCAAATAAACTTTAAAACTTTAAAACAGTGTTTCTCAACCTTCCTAATGCTGCGACCCCTTACTACAGTTTCTCATGTTGTGGTGACCTCCAACTATAAAATTATTTTTGTTGCTACTTCATAACTGTAATTTTGCTACTGTTATGAATCATAACATAAATATCTAATATGCAGGATGTATTTTCATTCACTGGACCAAATTTGGCACAAATCCCCAATATGCCCAAATTTGAATACTGATGTCGTTGGGGGGAATTGATTTTGCCATTTGGGAGTGGTAGCAGCTGGGATTTATAGTTAACTTACAATCAAAGAGTATTCTGAACTCCACCAACAATGGAATTGAACCAAACAATGGAATTGACACGAGC